GGCGGGGAAAGCGAATTCCCGCCTTTCCGGGAGCGGGGCAGTGCTGTGCTCCTGGGAAAATGGAATGGGGTTCATGAGGTGCTTTTGGGATGTTTACACCTGGGGGCTTTCTGCGGGGCAGAGGCGAATAGTCCAGTGTCTTGGAGAGGGCACTTCTGTCACCTCCTTCTGCTTTATCATCTGCTTTCGGCTATGTATTGGGGGGGGGGGGAATATTTGAATCTCAGTTACCGGTGACATCTGATTCCGATGTGTGCACTCACTATGCGTATGGCGCTGTTAGGACAAAAAGGTTAGTGTAGGTCTTTCAACTTGTGGGTGCTTCAGGGGGACCTGACTTAAGGAAAAAAGCAAGTGTATGCGGTGATGTAAGCTTTCTGAAGGGGCTTTGGCCTGAGGGATCTCAGTCACTGGCCAGTTCCACTGAAGCTGTGTGCAATTAGTGATGCTCATAGCCTGTTACTCACTGCAATAACCACAGTAATTGGTGTCAATTAGCACTTTTTTTTCTGGCCAGAGGAAGTCTCTCGAGATCATTTGTTGTATACTGTTATGAAGTTGCTTTTTAAGCAGTACCTGTTTTCTGTCTAATACAGAAGACTTTGATTTCTGCGTCTCATGCTAGTATCTCAAACATACAGTATTGGCAGAAATAATAACACCACGGCTGTGGGAATCTACACTTGCATTTAGATACTGCTTTGACAAAAATGCTGTGAATATCTTTGCTAATATCCTGTTCTGGTCTGGAAGACCACCGATGAACAAAACAGGAACAATTTGCTGTTTAAAAGACTGGATAAGAATATACAGAGTATACTTTTATTGTATAGAAATTGTTAAAGATGTGGGCACTAGATAGGGAAGACACTTTTATCTAAATTGCAGCGTTAGAAAATGGACAAGGCAGATTAAAATCTGAGTGTCCTAGACTGCATGCTGCTTTAAACTGTGTCTTTGTGTGCAAATATTCCTCATATTAGAAGTAGAGATGGCTTGTGCTTCCCAAGAGCCCAGTCTGCGTGAAGCTTGGTCACCTCTTGTAGCTTCTCTAGTGTCTCAGCTAGGGCTGAGTTTACAGTGTACAAATGGGCTACCCCTCTTCAGCTCCTCTGGGAATGTGGTGCACTTCAGACACCAGCTCCTCTGTCTAATTCAGTTGCAAAAGATTCAGCAGGCTTTGGGGAAAGAGGAGTTAGAGGCAGACAGATAGCATAAACTGTGCTTCCTTTGCTTCCAGCTTAACAGGTCTTGTGATAATAAACCTATTCTGCCTGGCATGCTTCTGTTGAATGTACTTTAAAATAAAAGATGTACTTGATGATGTTGACAAACGAGTAATTTTTATGCCAGACAGCAAGTTGTATGCTGCCGTTGCCTCTGGGAATGGTACTGCAGAGGCAGATGCCTCTTCAGAATTTCTCAAAGTGATACCTTTTACCCAAAATACTTTTTAAAGTGTAAAATATAAAACCTTTTGTTAAATCACTGAAGCATTTTGGCTTTTTAAGTCCTGCTTTGGACTTCTGCACTGATCTGATTTCAAGTCGCCTGTTCCAAGACCTGAAGTACCAGACAGCTGTTTCATTCCTGACTGCAGTCGTATTTTCAGCTCGCAGTTGTACTTAAGCAAACAATGAGTCACTGCAAAGAGGCTGTATGTGCAAGAGCTTGAGTATGGTGGAGGAAGCTGCAGCTTGGTTATGTCCCCCATCTCACCCTTGGTGAACTAGAAGGGAGTTCTCATGAATATTTCTTTTCCAACTCTTCTCACGCATCTGTTTTTTCCTTAGATACTTGAATTGTGAAGTGCTTGAGAAATTAGCCACCAGATACTAAACTTCTGATAAACAGTCAACAAGGACTGCCTTGAGACTTGTGCAAAAAACTGCGTAACTCTACCTTAAATTACATGTTAGACTTTACTGGCCACGTTTTATTTTCTCATGCTGGTACTTTGTCCAATTTAAATATAGAAATTACTGCATGCATAGGTCTCCACACAAGTCAGTGCTATCTGTTGTGTGCAAAATTACAGAGAATCAGGTTTAAGGTATCCAAGATAAGTGAAATGAGGCAGAGTGTTTGCCTTCAGTGTTTTATACAGACCTGACCATGTTGTGATTACTCAGCACTTACTCTTCAGTGGTGATTGGTGAGAAAGGCAGTGTTTGAGTCCTGTGGGTGTTGAAGTAAATAAATTCTATAGTTAAGTGCTGTACTTAACACTGTGACTAACATTGTAATTAGCTTCACTTTTCACAGTGAGGCCAGATGCTTCATGCTAAGGTCGATTTGCAGTGAACATGTACAAATACTGAGATGTCCTGAACAGAGAGTGTAAACCAGGTAGGATTACTAGTTTTGGAAATATCTGCTGGTATTGGTTGTATGTAGAAGATGATGCTGGACAGGCCCCCTCTAACCTGCCCAGGGGAGCAGTGCAGTTGGCCAAGGCTTGAGCAGGCTCTGGCCAGGCTCCAGGGTAGTAAGGTGGATGCAGCTCAGTACTCAACAGTTGATTTAATGTGAGATTGGTGTAGAAAAAGAACTGTAAAAATAACCTTTCTTACTTTTATGGGAAGATTGCATTGTGCCCAAGTGTCGTGCAATTTTCTATGTACTTATCTCAACAGGGTATCATGACAGGAGTACTGTTATTCCTACATTATGGATGCAGAACTGAAGCACAAAGAGTCTAAGGCCTGGTATCTCAAAAATATTGAGGCATCTTAGTCCTGCTGGTGTAAATGGGAGGTGAAGGATCAAATATTACTACAGATCGATGCCTGGTGAAATGCCAGAGATTAGAGAGAGCTTGTGGCTGACCAGGGAATTTAATTCTGTTCTCAAATCCCAAACCAACAGTATTTCTTTGTAGACTGAAGGTTCAGGATTGTTTGAAAATGAGCCACCTGGATCCTTAAGAAGTTCTTAAGAAGTGCTAATTTTTCCTGTTTAAGACAGACGTTGATAACTGTTTGCACCGTTTTAACCTAATGCAAAACTGTGTGGACAGCTTTATTTTTTTCATGTAAAAAAGGAGGTGGTGGTGCACTGGAGTAGCCAGAATGATCCCTGCACTGATACAAGCTTCGTTTCTGTCACTGACACAAAGAAAATGTGCTGGAACCTTGCCAGACCTGGGCAACCAAACCTTTGAGTGAAGGCGTGAGTGCCTCTGATTCAGTGCTTGGACAGAGCTGTGTTGCAAACGACCACAAGCTGTGCAGTAACCATTTTAGGTATCCATAATGATGATACTCAAATGCTGAGAGGCTCTTACCTGGTGTTTTTATACTGCTTTGTCTTGCCTTGAGAAGACCTTAGTTACATATTCATGTGCTGTCTTAATAGCTGTAGCACAGACTAATGAATGGGATACTGAAAAAACACGCTGGTAGAAAGGAAACGTTCTCTCAGGAGCTAAGGAACGTGAATACCTGTGGTATTGGAGAATGAGAAATAGGATTGGAGCCAATGGCTGTTCGTATCCATCAGCTTTTACATCCATCAGGATATCAGTGTTCTTCATTGAGTCATGAAAATTACTTCTAGAAGTGTAAAAACAAGATCTTGAAATCTGCTTTTGCTTAGCTGTCCATCATGTAAAAGGAAATTGAAAGGATGAGATCCCAGATGAAGCGTGGCTTTTAAATTGCATACATGACATGAAAACCTAATCTTGTTTCAGACAGTGGCAGGATCAGATGAGTAAAATGGATGCCTTGATCTCTCAGAGTAAGAAGCAAAAAGGATTTTTTTTTTTCCTTGCTTTCCTCTGTGCAGGGTGACTGGAAGGAGACAAATGCATGTGGCTGACACACACACTTTTGTAGGGGAATGGCCCATATCCATAGGTAAGCATGCCTGGCCATACGGGTGCATGCAGTCTCATGTATCTGCACATACCACTTGCACATGTACAGCCTTCCTGGCTAGTAAGAACCTGAGATTATTTTTTAATAAGCAACTTGGGGTGCTTGCTTTGGTTGTTGCAGGGTTTATAATGTGAATTTATTGGAAGCCTTTGTCTTACCAATTTTTTTGTTGTTCATGGGATGGTTGCTTATCTTCACATGCAGTTTTTAATTATTAAATAATATCAGCTTTACTCTTTTTTCTTCGTGAAAATAGATTTTGAGATAGATTTTAGGTGAGGTATGGGGTATGTTCTTAAGCAGTCTGATAGTCCCATGGGCCTATAGCCTTCCATTGCTTTTGGCAGATACAGATGGCCTCATAGCATTTTCACAACCATAAATATTTTTGTTGGTTACTTCTATCTTGTACTTGGGTTTAACGTGTAAGTGTGAAATAGGTACTTGATTCTTAAGTTCCACTTGTTAAATAAAATGCTTGGATAGCACATTGGGTCTGTAAGCCAGAGAAGACTTGCTGGCTTTTTGACAGTTTATTTTAATGTGTTGATACATGCCTATGAGCAGTTCTGGGGAGCTGTCTAGACAAGTTCAGCTGAGTACTTCCTGCATTGAAAGTGGTCTGCTCTGTGACTTGGAGTGGGGAAGAAAGGGAGAGATGAGCTCATGAACTGCCTATCTCAGGGTTTAGTCTTTCCTGGGGCTACAGGAGGGGAGACTCAAAACAGCAACTTAAACTGGGCAGAAGTCTCTGGCTTTTTTGGTGGGTCTTGTTTGGATATACACATGTTGAGACATCTTTTCTCGTTAAAACAACCTAGCTCTTGTTCCAGTGGAACAAAGAGAAGTAGAAGCTTTGAGGTTTGGGGGTTTTTTTGGTGATAAACTTGGCTGGCAGATCAATCTGTACAACTAGCAATCTAGCAAAAATGTGCTTTCAGCTCTGAAAAGTTTATGCTCTGTAAAATGCTTTATTTCTTCCAATTTGGAGAATTTAAATTGCAAACCAGTTTTATCTTAATGTTGTTTGTTTTCTTCCAGTGAAGCCAAAAGGCTGGAATTAGAAAGAAAACTGATGGAATACAAAAAGTCTGATGCATACCTGTAAGCCTATTTAAAAGCTTCTTATAGGTTATTCTATTTTAGTTACAAAGACTTAGGTATCATGGAATGCTTTTAGAATGTTATCTTGATGCTTTTTTGTAACAATACATTTATATTCATATGTGAAGTGTGATGTAAGATGCATGTATCTAAGTTATTGATGAAATAACTTCAGCAATAAGCAACTTATTCCATTAATACTGAAATGTTGTATCTTGAGTAAAACCAACTTCCATGTTAGTAATAACTTTTACAAAATCACTGTAGTATAGTTCATGCTAGAAAGTCCTAGGGTCTTAAAGTCTGAAAGCTTTAGGAAGTCCTGGAGGATATTCTAGGTTCTGGTCCTGTTCCTTGACTTGTTTTTGCATATTTATTTAACATAAATTGCATATACAGTCTGAAAAAAACCCAAAAACCAAAACCCCAACAACAAAAGCAGGCTGTAAAGTGGCTCATCCAGTGTTCCATTCCTTTGCTCAAATGTGTTTTGTAAAGCTCTTAGAGGTGACTTTTCTGTCTTGGCTCAAGGTATTGAGGGCTAGGTGCAATAATGGCCAATCCCTTAGGAACTCCTCTTCTGAAAAAAGGCCTTTATATTAGAAAATTAAGTTGTAAATTTAAAAAAAAAATGCCAGGTCAGGTGGGGAAATGTCATGTATACTTTATTTTATGGTTTTATTTGATTTATTTTAATCTAACAGGTTTTGAACCAAGTGTCTCTGAAAATATTGGCAGCTTGGGAGATTTAGGCTGCAATTTCATTACTGATTTAAGGAGACCCGTAGGCAGATTGAGACCAAAAGTTGATCCTGACTGCCTTTGGTTCACATTTTCTCTTTGGCACTAATGCTTGTGTGGCTGTCCTGTAATCAGATAAGGAAGTGGGTCTGGCTGAAAGCAAATCTGGTTTTTGGGTGGGTGAGAGCTGGTTTAGATGGGTTTTCGGCTGGATTACTCTTGGGCTAATTTTCCATGTGGCCACACAGCAGATAGTATTGGCATAAAAAAGAAAGGCTTGGAGTGAGCTGCCCGTTTTGGTGGCAGCATGGATTTAGTTTGGCTTAAAACAGTTGTGAAACCACAGCCTTAATATTACGATTTGTATGACATTCAGAGCACGTTCTGAATACAATTTTCATCTTAATTTAATGTGATGTGACTAAAACATAATCCATTTAAAACAAATTTATAAGAGTGTTTTAATATACTTATCCTTTTCAACACCAAAGCCACAGTTGAGATCTGAAGTTATATAGCAGACATCTTGTTGGTTGTATAATGTAGCTTTGGACAGTTGTGCAGAAGAATGCCTACTGCTTTTTGTGGGACTGGTGGGGCAACTCCTACTTAAGTGCTAATATCTATGTGTCTGAAGAAAATTGATTGTTTTATTTTCATACTCTAAGTACAGTTTTTTTTTTTCCCCCCCATAGAATGAAACTAAAATACGTGAAGCTGAAAAAATACTTGAAAGAAATAGATGAACGACAAAAAGGAGCTATGCTGCGAAACCAGACCTTTTTAAAGGAATTCAAGCAATTTGAAGCTCATATGAAAACTTCAAGTTTAGAGATGATTCAGAAGATGGAAGTAACTTTCTATAAGATTTAATGCATTAGTGTTTACTATTATTACTGGGTTACTAAATTGGTTTTGTACAACTATTATTCACATCAAGATTTCAGATGTTAGTGAAACCTTGTCATATGTTTTAGAGTGCTTAAAATTATGTTTGGAAATTTGAAATGAACCCAAATTATGCTAATGTATGATGTAATAGACTCTACTATTGCTACAGAGGTAGTCAAGAGCACTTCACAGAACTCTATATTTGTTCTCAGTCTTCTGAGTTTCTTTGAAGCAAGGAAGAACTGAGATTAAAAAAAGAAAAGTAAATGGATCATGTGTTTGGAGTCTTAGTGATAAGATAAACCAGTGTTATCTAGGTTAAGACAAGAAGACAAGTTGTAGTAGTTTCATAAAGACTGTTATAAAACTGTGTTTTAGTTAGGCTTTTATTACTTAAAAATACAAATTATTTAATGGAAGTCGTTTAAGTATGTATTTTTAATTTTGCTGGTGTCAACACCGTAAGTAGCCATAGTTAGCCTTGCCCCTGCTTTTGGCTTTGTCTTATTCGGCAGAGGAAGTGTAAGAATAAATAACTCCTGTTACAACAAATTAGTGTTTGAACTAGCTGGACTAAAGGTGAGCTCAAATGAAGTCACACTTAGTTCTATTACTAAACAGTCAACTAGCAATACTTGAACACTGGTACAAGAAAAAGCTTCCTCCAGTATTCTGTTGCACTCAGGTCTTTGCTTTTGCTAACATTTTTGCATGTTCTCAGAGACTTGATTCATGGTGCCTTCAGAGGTAGAAACTTTGAACTTTACTTCTGGTCTGGTAAAGTGAAGTCCAGGGAGTGTTTCATCACCTTGGATACTTGAATTGTGTGTCGTAACTGACATGGTAGGAGTGTGTTGATACCAAATGACTGACCACTTTCAAAAGACATGCTAGAATATACTTCTTACTGTTTTCTTTGTAGCATCTTTGTTAGCAAAGACAATGGCAAATGTGCTGCTTCTCCTTTCTCTACTCATAGCCTTGACTGCTGTCAGCTCAAAGGTCTATATTTGCAAAAGGGCTCTTATTACTGGCTTCACTGAATGTCATCGGTTTGAGAACTCATGCTGAGATGAATTATCGTTATGAAAGAGGCTGTTGAACTAATACATGCCTGTTGTGGTTTTTAAATGACTAATTTCTTAAAAATTACTGCAACAGGTAGAAAACATACATGGTTGTTACATTTTAAAAGAAAGAATAAAAGCTCTAATGAGGACAAATGGAAGTGACTGTTCAACAGCTACATTAGCCACCCTCTGCTATTTGTTCTGCCTGTTTCAGTTGGTTTGGTCCGTAGTTCTCATAGGGGAAACAGTTCAGAGTCAGCTTGATTCTGCAGTGTTTTCTTTTTTGGAGAGTAGTATTTTCTTGTGGCAAGCCCCCACTGGAATATCTCCAGCCCCATGATGACCAGAACTGATAATGAGATAGGGATTTCTGTACCTCCAGCACGTAGTCAATCTATGTTAGTATCTTAAAATAGTATGGGAGAAAAAGAAGTTGTGGAAGTAAAAAAAACATTTATAGTAATTTCATTTGTGTTGAGGGAAAGAGATCAATGACCACTAGGCCATTCAGCTATGACTTTCTATGCGCTGAGTAAAATTTGATGATTCTCTTAATTTTTCCAGTCTTTCAGAGCCTTGTTTGCAAATGTGAACAGACTTTTTGCTTTGCCTGTTTATCCTTATTGGGCTTTTTCCTTATTGTTATGTACCAGTAATGCTATTTTTAGCTTGAAGAGCTACATTTGTATTGCTTTTTTTATAATTAGTGCAGAAAGATGAAACTCTTCTATACTAGTAAAGAGATTCCTGCACGTCTTGTCTTAATGCTTGAAACACGCTTATCAGGATCCATATTTAAGGTTATATAATAGACAGGATTTTTTTTATCATAACTCATGGCTGAAGTACTTTCAGTTTAATAGGTTACTATATGAGGAAGCCAAGCTTCGAGGATTTTTGAGTGGTATTATTAATGTTGTCTTGCTATTCACAGAAGAACAATGTGGGATGTTGCAAAGTGATACGAGTTTGGTAATGACCTCAGATTTAAAAAAAAAAAAATTGTGACATGTGCTCATTCCACTAATATACGGAGTCAGATTTTTGGGAAGCTAAAATTGGGAGGGAAGTGTATTTACACCTGCTTTCTAAGAGCAGTAACATTCTTCAGAGATACTTGACAGGGGTTGTTTCTGTCCTGCTGCCACTCCCCTTTTTTTTAACTGCTGGAAGAAAGGAAGGAAGGAAACAAATTAGTTGAGGCATTTCAAGCCACTGGGATGTCGTAGTGACACAACAATTACTTTTGTGTGGCTGTCTAGAACTCAGTTGTGATTGTTTTTTATTTCTCTGTACTGCAGTTTGAATTAAAACAGGAACGGTCTTCTCAGAGTGTGCTATTTTTCTACCTCTATGCAGTTCGGGGGCACACAGCTTGATCTGAGACAGTAAACCAGACTGTGATCCTCTTAAAAGGAGGTGTCTAAAAAGCCTGGGTACAGTTTCCAGAAAATTTGAACATGCAGCAGCATCCTTGGATGATAGTGGTACAAGACTGAAAGAAAAGTGTGGGGTGGCTGAGATGCTCAGGTACAGCAAGTATGTGCAAAGAAGTACATGAGCACTTCTGAAAAAGGCTAACAGGAGGAAAGAATCAGACTGCACTATAAAAACAGGGGGAGTGGAAGGGGAGAAAGTATAAAATGATGTAGAAGTTAGAAAAATGGACAAACCTTACTTGAAAAATTTTTTTCAAACTTTTAATGTGCTCTGGAAACGCTGCACTAGAAAGTGTTATTAGAGCTTAGCCTGAAGTAGGGATGGAGAAGCAGCTAGCTGCATCACAGTAAAGAGCAAGAAACCCTTTGTTTGCAGTTCTTACGGTAGAAAAGTTACTTTCTTTCAGTAGATAAATGTATGACCTGAAGTGTGAGTCTTTGTCCTTTCTAAAAATCTTCAGTCCTTTTAACTGTAGATGTTAAATGTTAGTGTAGCGTCTGGTCCTTTTTGCATCCTCATAAGCTTTTTGTCAAGTCAGTATAATGTGACAGGAATTCTGTAGCATGGCTGAAAGAAACAAACACTTCACTATCACCGCTTTATTGTTTTAAAATTAGTTGTTTTTGATTTCATTGACAATCTCCTTGCTTTAAAACCAACAATTAGCTGGCTCCAGACAACTCTCCCCATGTTAGCTGCAACTTGCAATGCATTTAACCTTGCCTTTCATTGTTCATATTAAAGTAAATAACCCCCATCTCTGCTGTTCTCTGCTCGTGTGGATGATTTTTATGTATGGTGTTTGAGATGGGGTGATAAGACCTGTTTGTGTTAACACTCCCTTCAAACAACAGTAGGTTTGCAGGTCTGTTTCCTATTTGGGAGGTGCTGTCCCTGACTTCGGTGTACAGAGCAGGTGATTTGGGGGGCTATTGGCACATCTCTCCGCTTTCAGAAGTAAGGAAGCTTTCCAGAAGAGACATAGCTATCTCTTACTGTGGCAGTTGATTTCCACTCTGATAAACCAACAGGCTGGCTAACATCCTGTGGTTGCATACCCATGTTAATGAATTTCCTGCACAAGTATAGCTCAGCTACTGCCTGGTAATTCTTTTAAGCCTGTTGGGTCTGGTGACATTCTCAGAATATCTTTTCCTTGCTTCAGCTTAGTAACATACAGTTTAGACTGCCCCTGGGGGTGTGTGTGTGTGTGATTTCCCCCCCCCCCCCCCCCCCCCCGCTTTTAATTTTTATTTAAAGCAAAGGAGGACCGTGGGTATTTTGTGATTCTACATTTCTACTGTTGTTTTTAAGGATTTTTTTTTTCCTTAGAGCAACCCTAAGGCACACCAGTTTGACTAGTGGTAGGTTGTTACAACATAATGGTGTGAGTCACAGTTGTGCCATGAGTTGATCTGCATGCAGGGTTTTTGTTCACTGTTTCCATTTTGATGTTTCTATGCCATCCATTTTATTTTTGCCAGGTTAGACTATTTTTCTGAGCTGTTGAACAAAGCACAGATTACATATTCTCTGTACAACAGTTATGAAAAGCCCCCTCGTTGTGGATTGCGTAAGAATTATGGAGCATGTAATCATTTAATCTATCATGGAAGTACACAGAAAGAAATTATTACTATTTTCTCTTTTATTTTCATAGTGAGAGTGCCCTTTAGGAGTGCTTTATCATAATTATGTGTGCAGTTTATTATGTGGCTGCAGCTGACAAAACTTCTTTTGTTTATGAAAGCTTCACTTTTTTTCCTTATGTTTGTGTGTCCGCAATTTGTTCAGTGATTTTGGGGAGTATAAGTAAATTCACTTAAGCTTTCAGGAAAATCTAGTAGTTACATTTGAGTTTTAGAGAATCTTTAATTCTCATGTGGTTAGGTTTTTTTTTTCTTGAAATTCATTTTACAATTTTATGAACAGCTTCCATTACCTGGGAAATAGCAGACTTGCTGAATGCACCATTGGAGTGAAGTGCAGAGCTGGTTAAGTTAATTGTTTTAAAGATTTATTTTCATGCATATTACCTGATGCAGAATAGGTATTGAAGTGCTTTCATTCAAGGCCGATGTAACTTGTTATTGGGGTTTACAATTACTAACAAACAGGATTAATTATAGGTGCTGCATGTGCTTGGCTTTTAAGCAGTAGTCCTACTATGAATGCATTACATTTGGTCAATTAAACAATGTAGTGGAGGTGAAGATGGTTTATGCAGTTGTTTGTTAGTAACACTACAGCAAGTTGCCTTTCATGCTGGGTTGCTTTTTATAACATCTGCCATATATTTTTCCCTATAATAGCTCAGTGAGTTGTAAGATGATGTATGTAAACCACAAACAAATTCTAAAGCTCATTTCATCCCAAAGCAGCAGAGTCATTGTCTGGATGCTGCAGAAATAATTTGGCATTACAAATACTAGTTGGGGTGAATTAAATTTAAGTCAGCAAGTTATTACTGTTTTGTAGGATTCTAAGTTACGTTAATGAAAAGATGTGTATTAAAAACCTGCAGAAGACTGTGTACAGGCCATGTAATTTGTTCAGGGGAGAAAAAAAATTAGGAGAAAATGGGATCTTTGGCTTTTAAAATATAATCAAAGTAAAAAATTGCATTTAAAAGTGCACAATTTGCGAAGTACTATTTATTGATTTGTGGTGGGGTTTTTTGGCCTTCAATTTTACATAATGGATTTGTTCACATTTAGGCATGGTATGGAAGAGAAATTAAAAGTGTGTTATCACTTCAAGAGGCTAACTTGTCAGCAGAAGATGACAAGGAAGAACACAACGAGCAGGTACTGTGAAAGAAGTGGGGAGAAATGTGTTTTATTACACTGATGTGCTTTTCCTCTGAGCTGCTGCATGAAGAGTCAGGCATTGCTAAGCAGTCTTTGCATGGGGATTTTTGTTGTGGTATTCGTAGTGTGAAATATTGTTTAGTGCCTGAGTGAAGTAGAATAACCTGGGTAAAAAGTGCAATTATTTCAACCAAAGAACTAGAATTAAAAAGCGGGGAGAACTCTAACTGTTTATATTCGTCTTTGTGTTGGTTTCTATAATTCCTATGCCAAATAGTGTGAAAAAGGTCTTGACTGAGGAAATATTCTTAATGAATGATATTTTTAAAAATGCAGCAGTTGATTCATATAGCATATTTATAATTTTGTGCGTTTTGACCTTTTCTCAGAAGAAGCAAAAAGAGATTGCATATCTAAGTAACAGACAAAAAGACTGACAAGGAATACTTAAATATATTCTGCTATATATCTGCAGTAATGCAGGCTTCTAATCCCTCCTCCTATCTCCATATAAATGATACAGTTCAAGACCATAGCTGTTTTCTTCACTAAAAGCAGTAAAGCTCTTTTAGATGAAATGTCTAAAAACATCTTGTAATAACTTGGAGCATGCTGGCAAGAGTAGTCACTTGTGACTATGTGTGAAACCCCCTCAGCTAGTTGATATTGTAATAAGCAAAAATGGTAGCATCACTCCATTATTCAGAAAAGCCAACAGCATGCTTGTCCCTTAGGCTACAGCATTCATTAAGAAAAGCTTACTGGGCTGAAAGCTGGAAACAGATGATAACGGGATATGATTTTCATATTTAATGCATTCCTTGGAAGAGTATGTGTGCTGCAGATTGATAGAAGAATCAACTGCTACTTTACTAAAAGACTTTCTAGTTTGCCCTATAGCTACCGATGGAATCATTCAGCCAAGAAATTAACTTTTTCTCCTTTTACCTGCTTTATATATCTGCTAAGCAGGCTGCCTGGCTGCCAGTAAATGTTATTATGCAGTTAAATGTTTGGTATTTAAGACTCTTATCAGAAAAGAAACAGAGGCCACACTATTTTGTTTTTATAGTAGGAGGAAGGTTTTCAGTTTTCTTTCTTCAGTGCATTAGCAGTCATTAATCTGAGTTTATAGGAAGTTTTCCCCATAGAGTAAAAAGTTAAAGACCTTGAATTTAGAGCATTCTTTAAACAGTAATATACAAAGCAATGAACCTGAGCAACCTTGACCTATATAAGCAGGCCTCCAGCAGTTTGTGAATTATATTTTTTTAAATTCAGACTTATGTGAAAAGATGAGTTTATTTTTCAATGCTGGATTCTTCAGTTGGCATAGGGGATCTGATCTCTAGCCTATGGAAAATTTTACATAAATACTAGAACATCAAAGGCTCATAGTGTGACATAGATTTTCATTAAAAGCTGTTAGCAGGTTTTGGACAGCATGAGAACTTGGTGTGTACCTGAACGTTTCATTTTAGTTTGAATTACAGTTAATAGCTTCACTGTGGACTCTTTCATCCCCTGTCCCCTTCTTTCTCCTTGTCTCCGTCCTTAAATACCAAGGTAACTTCGACTAAATTGTAAGTCCTTTTGCCTCATCTATGTGCTGTGTCTCAGATCTTACTCTGTAACTCCATATTTTTTTCAGACTGATTGAACCCACTTGCAAGCACCTTCACTTCTCTTAAAATCTGCTTATTCTTATGTCCAAACTATGAGAGTTTGTTGTTGATGTGGCATCAAGTCAGTCACAGTGAGCGCATGCAGTTAGCAGGTACTATATCCAGGATGCAAGTCACCACAGCTTGAAACTGATTTTATTTACCAGCACTGGTATCATAATGGTTTCCTTCAGGCTAGTCAGGATGTCACTGATTGTGTGATAACCTCATCAGTGGTTCTGTGATTGATGCATCTTGGAGACCAAGAAGGACAATCTTTGAGAGGTAGTCAGTATCCCAGTGTCCCTAAAACACCAGTGTGAATGTCTGCTACTTTTCTGAGCCATGGGATATGCCCCCTTTTGGACTATCAATTTTTATGGGAGTCTTTAAGCTCGGAAATCGTATACCCATATCTGTTTGTCTAGAAAACTGTGACTCTCCATGGAAAGGGCTTGAGCACCAGTCTGCTGAAGCCTGGTGTAATGACCATCTAACGTTGCAAGTTGGAGGAGAGGTCCTGTACTGAAGAGGGCCTTCTTGTCTGGCAGAACTGTAGAACTGGAGCTTCTGAAACCTTTGCGCAATGAAGTCTGTCGTCTTCGACTTTGAAGCACTGTCTTGAAGGCTTTTGAAGATTTTGGACTTGTGAATCTTGGCACTGCCCTGTCTGTTGGACGTAGGGCATAGGCCACCTCCCTGAATGGGAGGCAGAGCATCCTTCCCTGAGAAATGTGATGTCACCAGGTAAGAGTAGTGCCTGGCATCAGGGAGAGACAAGCCTCTGGCTCAACTTCACCTCCCTAGCCTTCATATGGGTGTCTGCTGTCAGGGGCAGACTGGGCCCTTTCCTAACTCCTAAGGGAAACGATTTTTTTTTTTCTTATCTTTGTTCTCTTCAAAACACTTTAATGATAATAAAAAAAAAGACTGTATTTGTTACTGGAGGAAGAAGTGGAGAGCCTGTGCTCCACAATCAAAAAGTGGATTGTAAGTGTGCTTTGTGCAGAGACTTCATTTAATTCGGAGCTGGAGTGGCATGAAGTTCAGTAATTCTGACTGTTTTAAGTAAGTCATCTACATGCTTTTACTGTTTTGGGGGTAAAAACAGTACCTAGACCAACGTTATCTGTCATTCTTCTTCTTTGAGACGGCAAAGATGATGAAGAGATTGGGTTTTTTCTGCAATCGAAGAGGAGCTTGTTAGAGATGTTATGTCTGCTGTGACTCTGCCAAGCACTTGTACCTGTTTGAATTGCATTTGTTTTGGAACACTACATCCAGGAGCTGCTAAATCCATAAAGTACTTGCTAGATGCATTTTTAAAGCAGCAAATCCAAGACCCAAAAAATAATTAGCAGGAACCCGAGAGCAGTGGTGATGGAATAAGCTGTGAACTTAATCTGAGTAGCAAACCTTTACTCCTTCTTAGAATAACTTAATGGCTTTTTGTTCTGCTTCTTGTTACGTGGAATTTGATCTTTTTTAATGAAACTTGGTCACAGACTAGACAAGATGCCTTTGTTTCCTTTAAGCTGGGCTTGGCAGCTGACTTTGTATGGTAGGAAGAGGTCAGGCAAGGAAAGAGTAGAGAGGTGTGGAGGTGACTGTAAATTGTCCTGCTGTGATTTGGAGCTGAAAAGTAAGCCCTGCTTAGTATGAACAATGGTATTATGATAGCTAATTTTGGCTTTGCATAAACTGGCGATGACCTTTTAGTAGTAGTGGTGGCAGTAGCCACTCCTCCTAAATTGTTCTGATTGAGTAGGTTTACAAAGAAAAAAAGGCAAGTGTTAAAATGCTGGGATTAGAAGCAGAGTGGTTATACTGTTGGAACTATTTTTTATGCAAGTTCAAGAGTTCTTGGAGCAAAGTGCTATTTAAAATGTTTCTGGTTGGTGCCCAAAGTTGCCTTGTAGAAAATGAAATTCCATCTACGTGGTGTTAGCTGAGTAGTCATTCTTCCTCTTTGGTGTGGTTTAACAGATAGAAAAGAGAAGAAGGAAGACAATGAATACAGTGCTTTTCGCCTCGTTCTTATTTGCTTTGTTGACATGCTATGAACAAAGCTGGATGTGCAGACACTAAGCAGTGGCAGATGTATGTTTCAGACTCTGGGGGACCCTTCCTCATCCTGTTGCCTTCTAGAGAAGACCGTGAGAAGAGCATCAGGAGGAGGTTGCTCAGAGCAGTTGCTGTGGGTGGCTCCAGAAAGGCCAGCGCTGCCACGGACACTGCAACGGGGTCCTAACGATCATGTCTTGGCTTTGGGGTGCTGTGGTAATTAAGGCACAGACTACCAGCAGATGTACAGGTAGAGCACAGTGATTTCTCCGGAGTCAGTAATTTCAGGGTGTTTTTAGTGACTTGGTAGCTCTAAATGTCATGCTTTGGTCTAGGGTCTTAGAAACCTTTGCAGGAGTCTAATCTTAAAGGTTTGCCTGTTTGTAAAAACCAGTTATTGTTTAGATTAGTTTGAGTCCTTTGTGTATTTCAGTCCCTTTAGGGGTGCAGTGTGCCTTTGCCACTGGTTTTGGCTCATGGAGCCAAAACCTCAGTTGAGGTCTGGGCCCTTGTTTTCACACAAAGGTGCACAAATGCATGCCAAGTGTTTGTGTAATAATAATACTACAGAAAATACTTGAATGTGGTGACACTTTTCCCTCCAGAAATCAACATGCCATCCTCTAGAAGCTCCATTTGCTACATGCTGCCTGTTTCCTTAAGCCATCTCCCACTTGTGTTTTTCAGATGCTGCAGGTTGGAAGACGACAGGCAGGAACCAGCACCAGGACAGCTGTGCCAAGAGGACTGTATCAGCCAGCCACAGTCTTTATGGGCCACCACACATCAGCTGTCTCGGCTGCCGAAGGTTTGGGCACACATCAGAAACACCCCCAGCCCACAGAGAGCTGCTCAGTGCCTGCCCTGCCTTTGTGCTCTCCATCACTTGAAGGACTTGGTCCAGAGGGCAGAAGCACTGATTTAGAGAGAGATGCATCAGTGGAGGGAGCAGCAAGACGTGGGAACCTGGCTGTCAGGGAGGAAGACTCTGAGCAGCTCACCTCCTCAGCATCTGATTCCAAACCAGCCACCCCCAAGGAGGAACAGCTGTGGGGAAGCATCCCAGGTATGGCAGATGTGTGCCTGTATGCTGACCACTGAGGCACACTCATCACAACCAGATTGATTCCCACAGCTGCTGGTTTCTCCTATACCTGCTGTGCTATGGTTGAAGCATGCTGGTACTCTTTCCCCACCCCAATCCCCCTTTTTTTTCTTTATTCTTTTGACTGTTTCCTCCAGGCCATGCATCTGGTCAGGCAAGGGCTTGCTGGGAGCTGATCTTGCTCAGGTTCACTGTCAGAAAGTGAAGATTTCTTCACTGCTTTTCTCACAGTTGTCTTGAAGTAGTCCAAGACTTGTTTTTAAGAGCTTTAATGTAAACCTACTTCACTGGTAGAGTATGTCACTTCTGTTTCAGGTTGATTTCCTTCTCCCTCAGATGCTTGTGCACAATAGTTCATCCATTTTCAAAACTGGGATTTGGCAGTGTAGACCGATGATCCCTACATCCCCGTATGTGGCTGCATTAACTCCTACTTGGTGGTCGTTATCTGCCTTGTTCTGGTCTTCCCTGAGAAAGGCAATGTAGATTGTCCCAGCTGCTCTGGGATGAGATGTGCTGCCCTCAAAGGCTGTGTTCCAACTTCTTGTTTCTTTTTTCTTTTTTTAATCCCCATCTTGGCAAAATGTATTCTCTCCTGTTTTACTGGCTTGGTCCATTACTTTGAAGTAAGCTAATGGGCTTGTTTTTGAACTCAGTGACAAAGATTTGTTTCTAAGTAACAGTTTAGTCTTTTTTTAAGACCTTGCAGAAATACTCTCCCCTGCCTTGCCAGTTAACATATCAATTTTCAACTTAAACTAGTTTTCCAAGGCCCATAACAATTGCTAAAATGGAGCTATTTGTAATGGAAACTGGTGGAAACCCTAATGATGTGGGGACTCCTGCTCTCCTGTAGCAATTACGGGTTTCTTCATAGAGGAAAGCTGGCATCCCCATCAGATGCTCTTCTGTGCTCCTTGGGGGTTTTCTGGCATATGCTTTTGAGGTTTCTTTTTCATTCCTTTTTCTTTCTCTAAGGAATTTATTTGTCTCATTTTCTTTCATCTGATGCATTTGCCACTTCTCTGTTTTAATGAAAGCCTGTCTTTACTTGGTGCTGGAAGGAGACCAGTCTAGCCTGACTTACGTTACCCCTGGGCTCTGCTTGCAGCTCAGCAGAAAGCCAGTTCCTCCCCACCGGGAAGGCTGAGGTGCCCAGCATCGTGTCTGGGAAAGAAGAATGCCCATTTAATTTCTGGAATGCAGTATCTCTGCCTTCAGAGAAACTGTAAAGTTGGGTTCAAAATCAAAATATGCTTTTTGTCAAACAGCATGGTAATCACTTCAGACTGCCTGGGGGACTTTTTGTGTCTGTCTGCTGCCAAATGCATGTTGCAAAGTGAACAGGCTAATGTGGTCCAGTTTGAATGTGTGGAGGGGGAATTGCTTGTTTCAGCTCTCCTAAGCTTAATCTTTCACACTGCAAATGATGGGAGCTGATGAAGGTGCTTGACAGTGTCATACCAGGAAAAGAGCATGTGCTGGACTCTGCTGCTGGCTTGGTGCAGAGCAGCACTCACCACCCTCTCCTGCTGCTTATGTCAGTTGCACATACTTGCTTTACAAGTTTGAAAACAAGGCTGAGAGCCCATTCTGGTGCCAGCTACTGCTTGGCACAAACCTTAAGTGATTCAGTTCCAGTAGAACTCCATGACTGAGACAAGCAGAAATGCTGGGTGCTGTAGCGTTAGCAGGTGTGTGAACACTAGTTAATTTAAACCCATGGTGAATTTTATGGAAAACTGGGAATTTCTGTAGCAATACTAATTTATTACAGCACTAGCTGGTCCATTAACTTCTGGCATTCTCTGAAAAGATAAGTAGCATGTATATCTGTTGTCTTAGAAGCATGATTCAGCCCCATACCCTCCTCTTTTAGAGAAGGCAATTAATATGCAGAGTATAAAAGCCTCCAGGCATGTATTTCTTCTGCAAGGTTTAAAAAATGTGTATGATAGTAGCCTCTTTAGGTGTACTTTCTCCCCTGAAAAAAGCTTTTTCTGTCTTTCCGCTTCATTGTTCCTCTAGAGATGATTTAGTGAAGTAGCTGGTCTTCATGCGGGTAATACTTTCTGAGGAGTGCCAGGTTTGTCTCCCACCTTGGTGGGAACTGCAAACCCAAAAGGCGTGAGCATACAGGTCTGAGCCTCCCTAGACTCCCCCTTGCGAGGGGAGTGCAGAAGGACATGGGGCCATGGGCAGGGAAACCCAAAGTGAAGGGAAAACAGAGGGATGCTCGTTCACACATGTTAAGTGAGGTGAACAAATGGCATAGGTAACGTTAGTTTAATTCCCAATACTACAATGTACTCCTTGGTCCTGGGAATAACTTTTTATTATTTTTATAGGACTAAAGCCTCGCCTGAGTAACTGGTGGAGTTGTAAGGAGGCAAGCTGGGAGAGCAGCACTGAGCTCCCGATCCCTGCAAGTGCTTCTGCAAGCGCTGAGGAGGCGATGCCGAGCACTCCCAGCATGCCACGGGGAATGGCCTCACCAGGTCCTGGCTGGCAGCAGGGCAGGGATGCCCACACTGGAGACAGCTCCCCACTGCAACTACCAAACCCTCCTGCAGTGCAGGAGGAGCCCTCGGTCAGCTCAGCACCAGACAGGTATGTCCTTACATATTTTCTCTCTGCTGGTATTCATTTTTTAGTGTACACCCTGGAGACTTTTCACTGTTGGGCTGATATGTGGCACTAAAACTCACATATAGGCGGGCAGACTTCTTTAGTATCTCACTACCTCTGTGCTAGTGGTTAAATAGCTTCATGTAACTTATTCAGGTCAGACTTGGAGAAGGTAAGTGTGTGTGGTGTTAAAATGCAATAGGCATTCTTTAAATGTAAGCAAATCTTATTTCAACATGTTTAATAGTACGTATCATTTACTAAGCAGCATATCTTCTGTGGATTACAATTTCCAGTTGGATAAATTTCTTGAGTGTTTCATTTGGAAATAGAGAATGAGGAAAGTGTAACAGAGGTGTGCAGCTTGTCCTTTGCAACCGTATGAAAGAGGTGGGGTTTTATTGCTCACAACTGCAATGCTGGAGTATCAAGCTGTAATATCAATCACAGCTGGATTTTTGGCCTTGCAATGCCCTCTAAGACAGGGAGGCACATCCCCATCCCAGCCTGGCAGCACCCATTACAAGATGGTCCACAGGGTTTGCCCAGGTTGTGGGGAGGGTTGGCTTTGCTCCCTCAATGTGCTCAATTAACCCTGTGCCAACCACTGTCCCTGCCTGGGCCTCCACCTTGTTATGCCCCACTGCTGCAGGAACATCCCTCCTGCCTTTATCTCCTGTCTTAATTCTTCTGAAAGTCTGCTTGCTGCCAGCTCCCCCTGCACAGCTTCATGTTCACATCACTCTTCACCCCGGCCATCCTAGCCTGACCCTACAATTTCGTGATCTACAACCGTTGCCTTTCTCCTGTCCACCCTCTCTTAGCGGCATGTTTCTGTCTCATTGCCCTCTCTATCCTCAACACCCTTTTCCCTCCTCGCCATCCTTTTTCTGTACCCAGTCACAACAAAAATACCGAAGCAGACCTTTTCTGCAAGCATGGGTGCTGTTCCCCTTGGGTCTCCCTACCTTGTGTGGGCAGAAAGCTCCTAGCTGGAGTGGTTAAGTAGATACAGGTTAGGTGGTCGGTGTATGTTGGAAAGAGGCCACATATGAAAAAAACCAGCATTTTTACTCCTGGAGAATAAGGAGTACTCTTTTGCCAGTGGGTTTTTTCCTTTTTGGTTGTCTGCAGCTTTTTAATCTGTTTAATGCATCTATTCTTTTTACATTCATGGTCATGTTGTCTTAGGTACTGATTTCAATATTAGTTTTTATTTTAATAGATGACAGTTGAGCAGAAAGTAGTGGCCATCAATATACACTTCTGTAACTTTATCATTTCACATTTGCATCAGACTGTTGCTTGCTATGGAAACATCATCTAATTTACATCTAAATAGCTTTTACCCAGTTTTTCTTTTGTATAACACCTGTTAATCATAACACTTTGTAGGGAAGCCACATAGAGTGCCTGCCTTTGCTAGAGAAGTCATAGCTGAGTGATGGTAATTTAACCTTTTGTTCTCTCCCTGTCAACGCTAGTGATGTCTCACTGTTCATAAACTGATGAAAATATTGTGCAATGCTCTTGAAGCCCAGCTAAATTATATGAAAGGTTTCACTGCTTGCATTATCTCCAGAGCACGACTAAAACCAGAACATGGAGGTTTCCTCTCGCATTATGCCAAGCTGAATACCTGTTTCTCAAGGCCATGGAAGTGGGATCACCACTGTTAGCTGTTTCTGTAGAAAAGATACAAATTTTAATTTGTTTTCCCTGAAAATTAAGTGCAAATAAAATTACAAAAATTGAAGGCATGGAAGATCTCGTGGAGGGATAAGCAAACTTTTGCTGTTGTGCTTATAACCAGATGGGCTTTCCAAGCCCATCTTTTTAATGGACGTGAAATTCAGTGTGCATACTCAAGTCTTGCAAAAGAATTCATGAGCTGAAAATATTGGGGAAAAGCTTCCAAGTTATTAGTGCACAAATTTGTTACATAAATCACACAAACTATGAGAATGCAACTTTTTTTTTTTGTCTGATATATATTGCCACAGATTCATGAAATAAATATCACAGATCTTGCAATGTCCCTTTAGTCCACATGTGTTTTCTCCTATGAAATTCCTACACTGGCTGAAGAAATATGCTGAAATTATGCCAAACTATGTATATTGGTCACCTTAAACTGAAATACCTGTAGCTTGGACTTTCCCAGTGCAGCAGTGTCGCTGCTGTGCCATCTAAACAAAGTACCATTTGCTCACCTGTCATCTTTGGGTCATTTGTACACTTTTTGATGTATTACTTAAAATTAGTATAAGTGATGGGGTTGAAAGGAACTCTCGCCTGCGGAGGCCACGGCTTACTTGGGAGGCAAAACAAAATCGTTGCATGTCAGGAAGTCACAAGTTTACGTTCCTTGAGAAAAGGCCTTTTCTACCTTACTGTAGAGATAAAATTCTCTTTTTTAAAAAAGTTTGGGATATTTTATTTCCCAATAAGTGTTTGTAGGTCATAATTTGCCTCTGGGGGAGTTCAGCCTAGTTTCAAACTGCCTTCTCCAGCTAGAAGAATGGTTTTCATGATAACATCGAGTTGTTAAAATAAAGGTGATGTTGCTATGAAACATTATTTAGCATAAGGTTTTTTGCCTTGGTTGCAGTTCACAGTAGGGTGCTGCAATTTTGCTACCATAGTTATTAAAAACCTACGATTTTGGGGAAATAACTTCCGTGTTACCAAGCACTGCTGCGTGGGTGTGTTGATCAGGGGCTGTATACATGCATTTTCAGACTAATCCTACCTGCTCATACCCACATGAGAGCTTGGGCTGTGTATTTTCCCTTCAGGTCTTACAGCTCGGGAGCCTGCTGGCTAGCAGGGGTGGGGGGAACTTGCCTGGCTTGTTCAAGCAGCAACGATCAAGGACCCCATCTCCCCTCCTGCCAGTTGAAGCCACCAGATAGCTCTGGTCTTTGGCAGCTTGTTCCCTGTCTGAGCTGCTGAACCAGAGGTGAAAGGCTCCGTATCCTCTTACCATTCCTTACAGCACCCAGCCCTTTCTTTCAGGGCTTAAACCCGGGGAGTGGCAGGGCAGGGGGGAGAGGTTCTCTGAGAATTAGTGCAGAGAAAGTTGATGACTATTTTAAGGCCTGTGCTGAGGGAGTAGAAAAAGGGAGAGCTTATGCCTGTGCTGCTTCAGCTGCATTGAAGAGGACTTAGCACAGATGGATTATGCATTACAAAATGTAACACATAATTCAAGCTGTCAGCTTAATCAGACTGTTTCCAGGAAGCAACCTGTAAAAGAGAAGGACCTCTTGTTTGCTGACCTCTGATCCGTAGCCTGCTGCAGATTGTCATACATTTTGTTTTTCTTTATGTTGGTGTCCCTTCCTTCCCCTTCCCTTTTTATTATTGTATCCCTCTCGAGTGGCACCCTGGAAGGACCACCCAGCAGGAGAAAAACAATGGGAAACGAGCCGGCCGCTAAAATACAGGGTTTGTAAGACTGGGGGAGAAGAAAAAGCACTGTTTAACTGCATATGTGATCTCCCTGGTATTGTTTTGGTTATTAAATGTCTAGGAAACTGGACTAAATGCACGGCAGCTCCCACTTAATTGTTCAGTGTTGCCCAACAGTTCAATGAAAGACACAACTTTTGGTACAGCTTAACATGACTGTAAAAATGATGCAAGTTTTCGTGCACAGAGCTTTTCACTTGAGGGAGTGTAAACCAAAGTTAACTGTATAAATATGTCAGCTTCTATGCAGGGGGAAAAAAAAAAAAAAATGCCTATGGGGCTCTGCGGGTGCAGGCCCAGCTGGGGCATTGCTGGTGGAGACCTGGCCTGGAAAGTTCCCAACAAAGCAGGCAGCCGGCCTGGACCTGAATAGCCATTTACACCTCTGTTCAAGGATTAGTCTGCTGTATTGTTTCAATGTTTAAGTCCTAATTTGCATCATTATAGAGGTGCAGCTTCATCAAAACCCCTCTGAGGTCCCAGTTATGTCCCCATACCTGTAGGTGGTCACCAGATTTATTTTGATTGTGGAGGTAAAGGAATTAAACTACACAGGGCAGGGGTAATTTCAATGCAGCATCTCAGGCCCTGGCTGATTTTTTGGATGGTTTGTTTGCTCATGTGTTGTGGGTTTTTTTTTTTCCCCTTCCTACAGAGCTCAGGCAACATGGGTTTTGCTGCTGTTTGCTTTGAAAAGCTAAAATGAGAGTGTTTATTTTTCCAAGTGGTGTGATGGAAATGCATTTAAAATACCTGTTGCAACTCGGGTCACTTTATGCCCTGCTTGCTGTCCATCCACAGGCACGGTGGGATGCTGGCAGGACTCTCCCTTGCATTGCGGTTGATAGAAGACATGGTGAGGATGAGCCCCCGGCGCCGGGTGCTGTACCAGGGCCAGAACGCGGGGACAATGGGGACGGAAGAGTTGCTCAGGTTAATGTCACAGCCCTTGCGGAGTGGGCAGGAACCAGGGAGGCAGGCAGGGCTGCCTGCACCTTAACTGCATCCCCTGGATTCTGGTTTGCTTGCTGCCATGCATCCAACATAACGGTTGTCATGATTTTGTTGTTGATTGCTTACATGCTTCTAATTGAATTCAGGTGAGCAATGGTGAGAGGCTGTTTCTGAGCAGCTTTGCAGGAGCCTCTTGAGATTTGAGCCAGGGGTCCTCGCTTTTGCTGTGACAAATGGCTGGTGCAGAGAGCAAGCAGGCTCCAGCAAACAAACATTGTCAGTTGCTAAGAGGCCTCCCTGCCCTTCCACTATTTTAATGTCATCAGAGAGCTGAAATATGGCACTTGGAAGCGCATACGCAAATTACTCCAACAAATACTCTTTCTTAAACATGGCACTCTCTGCAGCCTTGCTCCACAGATCCCTTAGGTGAAGTAAATACTTATTTGCAAGAATGAGAGCATTCCCTTAGCTAGTAATGCTAATATGATTTCCTGAAGTAGACATCAGTAACCAGAAAAATAATTTCTTCTTCAAGGTAAAAGAACAAAGAGAATCGCCAAAACCCATGTGTTAACAGAACTGGGGACAGAGACCCCTCACTGTCCCTCTGCAACACAGGCTCTTAATTACAAGCACTGGGAATGGCTTTATTTAAAATTGTATGTTAGCCTCCATAAACTAGGATTCTCATAAACACTTGATGGTTAGAGGATTTCTAGGGCATGATGAAGAAGGGTTGCCAAACCAACCTGGCCCCTCCAGCTTACCACTAGAGGTGGGTTCCTGTGGTGTAACTGCTTTGGCCATGGCATGGCAGGGGCTGCCTGGCCAAGAAGCAGTTTCACCTGGGTGAATGTGCGCAGGTTCCTCTCTCCTTGTGAAAAAGCAAAGGTGTGAGATGAAACCAGGCGTTCTCTTAAGCGCTGGGTTTGACCTCCCTGTGCTGTTCTGCATCTTTCACAGAGAGCATCACGGAGGTTTGTCCCTCTGGGCTGTCCCACCAGTTATCCCTTTAGCCAGGAGAAGTGTTACAGATTCTACCTCCGAACTGATGCTGGCTGTCTGGGCTTTAAATAAATGTTGCATGTAATACCTGCTTTATTTTGTAGCTTTTGTAATCGGGCTGACAGTCTGAAAGAAGATGACCTTGAAGCATGCGAAGCATTTGTCCTTCATCAGCTTCAGGCTTTATTGCAGAGCCCACTGAATGGATGCCTCCTACCTGAGAAAACACTTGATGCTAAAGGTAGAGCGGTGGATGAAAAGCAGACCAGGTATTGCAGACACAAAACTTGTGTGTGAGTGTGATTAACATTTTCTTTGCTCCCCAAGCCTGCTCTGCATCTCTGGTGCAGAGAAAGCAGACCTGGGGCCAGACCTCCGATCACACCGGAAAATAAATATATCTGAGTGCTGATCTTTATGCATCTTGGCAGCAGCAGTGTGACTCGAAATGAGAACATTAAGCGAATTTATTTCTTTTCCTTTTAATTCACTGACTGTGAATCTTATTCTGCCAGGCAGCACTCGGCCAGGTGCCCCTGTCTTGTCCAGTCTGTAGTCTCCCACCCTAGGCTGCTCTGGCAGGAAGGGAAGCATATTAACTTCAGAGACCTCCTAGCCAGTAATTTCTGTGATCTTCAATGCAAGTCTCAGGCTCATAAGGATGGAGAATGTAATTTTGAGAAACAAATTATTTTTCTGTGAAGCAGAAGATGCATATAGCCTTTAAAAACAATAAACCACAGTTATTCAAAATGGGGTTTTCTTTCCTGTGTGTATGCCACAAGGACAAGTGAGAATTGTTTTATTTTGCGTTTTTTTTAGGTCTCTTTAATAATACAGCAATGAAAACAATTTCTATTCTTTCGTACATAGCTTCTGTCTAGACCTCCTTCACTGTTACAGGCTTAGCAATGCTCAAGTGTTAGCAGGATCGGGGCACTTGTGAGCGCTGAAGAATGGTCTATTTACCTATACCTGGTTCTCCTTTCGAGACTGATATGCCTGCGAGCACTAATACGTTGTTGTATTTCCTGAATGGTTTCTTGGGGACAAACACTTGTGGAGTTAATTGGAATTCAGTCCTCTGTTCATGAAACTTCATTGGAGCAACTGAAAAAACAAACATCTTAGGCAAACAAGATTGCAGTATTTGTATTTTCTGTGTTAAAAGGCACTTTTGCTCAAAAATAATAAAAATAACTCTGGGAAAAAAAAAGCCAAATAAAAAAAATACCCCCAAAACAAGCCTGGGGAAGTGGGTACTTGTTGGAGTAAGTGAGGTCTGTCCAAGACTGAGACCAGGGGCAGCAAATGAGGTTTAATGTCTCCTGAGACTCAGGTTCAGGACAGACCCAGGGGGCTGACATGATGATGATTGCCCCTGCCCATCCTCCCCACCTTTGCAGAAATCACGAGTGACTTACATTGTCCACTTTGAATGTTTTTAGAAGAAAAAGTGGAACTGAAGGGTTAAATGTGTGATGATTTTTCCTGCTGCATGTTGACCTGCTTGTCCAGATACTGAGTAGCTTGGCTCTTGTGTGAGTTTCATGTATGTGGGCTGTCCCACTAACAGTGCTTGGGTTTGTTTCTCAGGCCAGACCAGCAGTGGGATGTGGATATGCTGCAGTCTTGCTTGAGCAGCCATGCCCTGTTCTTGAAAAAGCAGCAGGTTCAGCTCACGGAAGAAGTGGCAGAGATGTTTGAAAGACTGCTGGTTTCCAGCAAGAAGGTGCAGGACAGCCAGGTTGGCACTTGTGTGTGATAATATCGAAATCAATGACACCTAGAGACTAATTTGCATTGTTAAGGCGAGACAGGCCCTTTGCTGCTCATGCAATCTGCTGTGTGGGAATGACAAGCAGTCTGTGTTCATTAATCAGCCTCAGAGATGGTTAGGAGGAGGTAAGGAGAGAACACGAGTTCTTCAGTTGTCTTGGGGCAAACACATAGCACTCCGTCCCACAAAGAAAACAGTCTCTCTAAGGTCTCCAGCAGGGTGTCTGTTTTCCACCCTTCAAACCTGTTATTTATCTAAACAAGCTCACACATTTGCTGTGGTGTGAATTTATCACGAGGCTTAGATCATTCTCTGTGGCTTAGTAGCTTTTTATCATGAATGATGGATTTTATTATTTTTTTAAACAAAGTTATGACTGGTACACTGATTATGCAGAACACTTTAGAAATAGTAGCATGCTAATTTTTTAAATGTTAATGCAAAAAGGTTATAAACTAGCTCTTTCAAAAAAAAAAAAAAAAAAAGTTGGTATTTGGTAGACCTGCAAGTGCCCTGACCTCATTTGCTGCAAGCCCAGAGCAGCCATCTATGTGGGGAGGGTGAGGCTCCAGCCTCCAGCACTGGGGCTGCAGCCATGCCAGAAGAGCCAGGACTCTGCCACTGGGCTGATGTCCCAGCTGCTTCTACACCATCCCTGTGGTGGGAACTAGGAGGTTTGCCAGGCAGCCTGCCCATAAGGAGTTGGCTGCGTGCTCTGCTCCAAAAAATATTTGCAAAAAATATTTTTCCTTTAATGAGAAATTTAAAAAGTGTGAACTGCCTTGCTATATTCTAGTTTTAATAGATTTTGAAACAATTAAGACGTAATATTTTAGTACGCTTTCAGTAATAGCCAGGGTAACTTCCTTTTACTTCATGTGGATAAGTAATTTATGTTCTGTCCTTAAAACATTCAGGCAAATAGAAGAGATGAGCAAGGAATATGTTACTGTGTAGTGACAGATAAACAAATACTGAACATAAACTTATAATTGCATGTAAAAACTTTTGAGGAGTCAAAGTTCAATAATGCAAGCTACATGTTACTGTAGCCCACACCCTCATTTAACTGTTAAATGGATCCCATCTTAAATGTGACGCCAGGATGCATCCCCTATTTGGAAACACTTTATTTCCAGGCAGATTATACAACATGCATGTACAGGAACAGTTGCTTTACATTACGATGTATGTAACGTAGTAGTGAACTTGCAAGCAGTCTGCACCTAAGGATCGACTCCAGGGTTTGAATTTTTGGTCCATGCTGTTGTTTTCTGTCTCCAGGGGCTTAAAGATCTGTCAGGAGCCCCACTGGCTGATCGTACTGTACAGCCAGGCAGCAGTGTGGAGGTGCAGGAGGGAGCTGTGAGTTCCTGACTGTACAAATAGACCTGATAAAGTCTGCCAGCTCCATGACCATCAGCACTTACGCTTCATGGAGGTTTGGACCTGCTGCTGGTCATCACCACCTTCTTCTCCAGTGCCTTCAGCATCTTGCCCATAGAATCTGTCTACCTGCCTGTCTTCTCGTCTGTTACCACTAAATTATGTCTATTCTCTTATGTCTTACTATCAGTTTTTCTCTTGTCTTATGGATCTCTCCCATTATCCCTCTTAAGAAAATTGGGTATTGTTCCTGTGGATATGGGACAGCCATAGAGAGCTGCTATGGTAGGAACACCTTTTCTGGGTAGTGGGATGGCCTCTTGGCTGTGGAAGCTGTGGCCTTTTCAGCCAAGTTACGTACCTGTAAGAATAAGACCCACGTGGCTCACGCAGCATGTTAGATGTCTTCATGTCAATTTGGAGACATCAGCCACCCCAGAACTGCCTTGCTCCTTGTGACGCTGAACACCAAGCTTTAGTTCTCGTGGTGGGACCCTTCCTTCTGCCTGGATTAGTTATGGTTTACACTGATTGCTTGTACTTGGTGGTGGTGGTTCATGCCTGTTTGGATGTTAAATGATACTGCAGATAGGTAAACAAATCAATTCTGGTGTAAGAAATCCTCACTAAAATAAATTGCTACATGGGAATTAATTTCTTTCAATTGTTAAGATTTGCTAATCCTGCCTGTAATTTATGGCATTCTTTACATTAAGAAAATGAGACAAAATCCCCGTTTTTTGAATAAAGTAGCAGCTTGCTCGCATTCGTTTTGCATGAAGACTTCCCATATGTAAGTTTAGTAGCAAAACTTCAGCAAGCTATTTGTCTAAGAGTGAAAAGTTGCCATTCTGGGCTTCCGAATAAATATGGATTAACAAGAGGGTAGATGCAGGGAAGAAAACTTTCTCATGAGTCCAAAATGTTTTGGCTTGAAGTTGTTCCGTACTCTCAGGTCAGCGCATATAAAATAAGTTAAAAACTCAGAGTTCTCTCTGACACATTAGCCTTTAGCAATGAGAGACAATTATTTAATTGTTTATTAGATTTTCTGCTTTTATTGCTTTATTAGATTTTAAATCTTAAATCCATAATTTATGTTACAAAATAAACCCAAGAGTAGCACCCTACAAGTAAAGAAGAGATGGGAAGGATGTCCAAAAAGCGTTTGCTGCTCTTTGTGAAATAACAAATGCCAGGAAGGATGATTTCTCCTGTTCTCAGAAAGAGCTTTACAATGCCACACACAGTACTTTTAACACAGGTGGATGGTAACCTAAGAAGGACTTCCTTTATTTTAAGCTTCCTTTTAACTCAGTCGTATTTATGATCTGTTCAGTTTCCTGTAAAGGTACTGGCTTCCAACTTAATTTTTTGTTTTAAGAATATATTTAACTATGGAGGTCTGAATAGTGCTGCTGCATGCACAGGCAGGAGAGATCAAACTTTATGAACATGCAGGAATAACACTGATTAAAACTGGAACTGCGCTTAGCTGAGGCTAGCTTGGGCAAGCTGTGCATCAGGGTAGAGCTCTGCCTTCAGGTTCATCGGTTTCAGTAGTGTTTTAAGCTGCAGTTATTGCTCACACTGTGGGTTAACTTCCCTTATTGCTGTGTGCCTGAAATGAAAAGATTTCTTTTCAGTCAGTTGCTTTTGCAGCGTATTTGATACATCCTTCTGTTGTGCTTATCCTGAATGTGTGAGACCGGCAATACTGAATTTCCAGAAAACCTAGTGATTAAAAGAATAATGCAGAGTTTGTGTTACTTCAAGGCAGAATGCAATTCCTGAGCTAGTGTGATTTAACTCGGAGGTAATTTAACATCTAACAAAAACACCCTGGAAACAGATTACACCGTGAAGTATAGATTAGCCTAAATGTATGTTGGAAAACGCTCGAGACGAAGGATAATAGGGCTGTGGCTATTTTTATTTTTTTAATGCTGCAGGCTCTACCGGTGTTGAGAGAGGTCCTTCCAGAAGAGTGTGGGGATAGGTCATCTATTCAGAGTAATGAATCATCTTATAGCTTGCCATCGATCCCAAATGACAGCGGGGAAATAAAGCAGGCAAAACACGCTCCCTGGCTCGCCGGCTCAGGAGAACAAGGTAACAAGTGTTAAAAGGTTCCAGCTGCACGCTCAAAGTTATTGTCCTTTTCTGTATATATGTGTTTTCTATCCAGGTCTGCAGGGGACTATATTAAAGTGACTGATGAATTAATGTATATTTGTAATGGACTTCAGGGGATTTTCTTAAATATCTGTATTGTTTGTCGTTCTTGTTTTTACTTAAAATGAGTGATGCTTGTTGTCACTTCTTTTTTTGCAGCAGCAGCAGTAGAAAAGCAAGCCTTGTGGCAGTTATTAAAAATGTATCTACATGCATGCACATATTTTTAAAATGTCTACCATTTAGAAATTGGGGGATATATTTGTTGCCTTTTACTATAAAGCCAGTTTGCAGAATAAATTTTAAAAAATAAAACAGCTCACGTTGAGAAAGATATGTGGTGCTGTTTTAGAGCTTAGAAGGTGAATGCGTTTGTGAAAACCTAGTTAATTTCTTTAGATAAGAAAGTAATATATTAGTCCAGTGTAATAACTGGCCACGGCAACTTGCTCGATCTGCTCTCGGAGCATCCCTTACATCAAAGTCCGGAAGAGACAGGCAATTAGGTTGTAACGCTCTTTACACAGCAAATGTAAACAAACTGCTTTAGGCCTCCTAAATTCAACGACTTTTATCCATGGAGGAGACGGAGACTTTGATTTAAACTATTTTTCCGTGGTCGGTATGATATACGCTGTCGCTGTCGGGCTGCAGGACGAGATTGCAGAGTTACTGTGGGTTGTTTGTTTCCCAAATCCCATTGGGTCTTAAATAATTTAAGACATTTGGTTAGCATGTCCTTTTCTCTGGAAGCTACAGAGAGGCAGGGTATCCTTGCATGCAAGGAAAGTTCACAGTAGGCGCCTCTTTTAAGAACAGTAATGGATAGTTTAGATCAATAAACAAGAGATAACAAAAGTGAGAAATTAAAGGGAGTAGGGCTTAAAAGCAAACAAACCAGTCTGATCACTGTGACTTTGAAATATGTTTCATTATGGTGTGTTCACATCCAGAAGTCACAAGCTGGTGTGAAGATGAGAGCAAGGAAGAAAGCGTGGTCGAAAAGATTCCTATTACAGGTAAAAGTAATGGCTGCATATTAACCTCAAATCCAGTATTCAACTTTATTATATAATCAAAACATGGCATTTTAGTGGTTTGGGTCCGCTAATAGTGAGTAAATTCAGCTACTACATACTGAGCGCAAAGATTAAACGTAAGATCATAAAGTCCGTGCTTATGTTAACATAAACCAAGATGGAAAATAACAGTGCCTATTTAATTCCTTGTAATCATGTTACACATTTAAACCATGTGAATATCCTGTCATTTAGCCTTTCAGGTCCCGGTATCAGTGTTACAAAGGTCAGTCTCCATGGGGAAGATCCAGTAATTATATGGCAAACTACAGATGTTTCTGATTTGATTCTTTTCTTTTCTTGAGTAATTGAATGTGTATCATTAGAATAAGCGCAGGGAAAAAACCCCGCTAGCCGGGAAGCTGAGCCTTTGCCTCCGTTACAAAAGCTGCCTGATAACACAAAATTTTTAGCAATAAGGTTTTATCAAGACATGTTCAGATCTTCCTGCAGCAGATGTATGAGGCTTGCTTAGGATCCCAAGACTCTTCGCTGCTTGGCGGTCCTGGGGTATCAGTAATGCATTAGAATTCAGGGCAGGGCTCTTCGCAATGAGTCTCAATTTGCTTTTGTCTGATTTTGAAAAGTGGTGGGCTGCTTCCTTATAAATTTTGATGTTTGGCTAAATATTTATTTATGCAGGTGTGTACTCCAGCAGAAAGGTGCAAGGGCATCTGCTTATGCAACATTCGCTGTTGCTTTTCTGATCTTTTACAGCTTCAAAATAGCCTGTCTTTCGGAGAGCAATTCATTTCTCTATAGAGGTTTTCCTCTGCTGCTGTTTGAGCCTAATTTGCAGCTGAAATATAAAAATGTGCTTCTTGTATTCCTGAATTTATACTGCAGCAATAATATTCCTGTGTTAGCCCAATAAAACTTAAGATAGTTTTTTCTAGAGAGTAGAATGCTTTCCATTTTCCTGCTTCTTAAAATGTCCTTCAGTCACACATGGCAACATATTTAAAAACATGAACTGCATTGGTTTTCAGAGGAATTAAAAGCCACTTAAATATTTTTCATGAAACAAAACACACTTCTTGTTCCTAAAACTTTGCAAATCTTGTGATTGGTTTGATTTTGTATGCCATGTAAGAGCATTCCAATTTGAGGATGGGGGCTTAAGTTCCTGAAACAGCAGAGAGTGCCAGCAAGAACAATGTCAGGAATAGTTCTTCCCTCCGACTAATGCCATCACTGATACTATTTTTTTAAAGAGAATACCGGCTCTTGAGTTTGTATCTCTGTAACTGCTGATGCTTTTGGTTTGACTTGCCAGTACTGGTTTTAACTGTGATTTTTGCATATGAATTTGTCAGGGAATTCTCTATTGCAGTTTTTCCGGCTGGAGACCCTGGCGGTTTGTGCGGCTGGTTGCTGTGTTGGATGTCAGTCAGTCAAAAGCCAAGCCACAGTGGACATCCTCCTTTCCTGAGCTTTCTTACTGACTGGCCATGCAAACACTTAATACTTCCTATTTGCAAAAATGCTGACAAACTCTCCTTAACCTAAATGCTGAAACCAGTAACTTAAGATTAAAATCCATTCTTTCTGAGTCTGCTTTATTTGCTGTTTTACTGCAGTGTGTTTCCAGTAGCCAGTGGTAGCATTGTCTCTAGGAGTGAGGCTTTTCATATCTCACTTGAAAGCAAAGTTGTTCCTTTCAGATGCGATTCATCTTCAGCCCATGATCTTCTCTGGGCTTCTTGTTCTCTTCTGGCTCCTGGCCCTTCCAGCCTGTCGCTTTTTACTTTTTGTTCATCATTATTTGCTGTAGACTGTGGCCTTGGAGCTCTAAATTGTTCTGTGCCTAAAATAGAGGCAGCATCTCTCCGTGTTGTCTTTTGGGCTCAAATGACTTGTTTGAGGGTTTGGCTTTGTGTTTTTAGATGAACTGATATTTAATGTTTGTCCTGTATGTGATCATTTCACTGTAAAACTTTTTCTAAGATTAAGGGATATGAATTTGGGTTGGGTTTTTTTCAGTACTTGCTGCATTCTTTAAGTGCTTTAAGTGTTGGTTTGAAACACTGGAAGCCTTGGGGCTTTTGGGTTTTGATGGGGTCCATTGTGAGAGCTGGGTGGATGCGCTTCCAAGCAGTCTTCTCTGATGGCACTTCACAAATGCTTCTGTAGTTTTAGTTTATTTTTCTTCTGTTACAGAAAAAAGAACCAAAATGTTTATTTTAATATTCTGTAAGTATTCCAGAAATATTTGCATTTTTTTCTTTCCTGCCTGTAGGGGAGAATGAGATAGCTTTGTGGCTTTGGGGACAAAGGCTTTAGAATCATAGTTGGAGTGGTGTTGGATGTCCTTATAGACAGCTGGTGTTGGCATCTGAAACTGCTTGTGCAAGGCCAGACTTCACCTGGAGCTTTTCTAAACAGAGGCTTGGCCTGAAACATCTGCCAAGCTGTTCCCATCTGCGACAGGCCACCTGAGCTTCTCAAACCCCTTCTGTATTGGGGGCGCAGGGGCAGTGTAGCTCATAGCATAAAGATGGTTTGGTTTTGTTTTGTTTTTTTTTTCTTAGAGCCTTGTCCTGAGCTTGTGGAAGGCCATGCTGTGATAATTGACTTAAAAAGGATTATATTTTGTGTCTGGTCTCATTCAGAGAGGCATTAGCTATTAATAGCAATCTCATTTTATACAAAGTTATATGATAGAGGAGGATATGTGGGCTCATTTTCTTTCTCTTTTTTATCATGGGAAGACATGTAAAAGAAATTGTTCAGCTTTTTTGCTGTTCCTGAGGTAGGCAAATAATGTGAGATTAAAAAGAAAGGATAAAACCCATTATTTCTTGTTTTGCTGGATGGCTGTTTAAGAGTCTCATTTATGAGTAGGAAAGGACTGATTTTACTGAAGGGGCAGGTTTTTAAATCTTTAACAAAACTAGATTCCCTCTCTACCCTTCATTTATGTCTTTGATTTAAATAGACGTTAAAGGTACAAAGCATTTTAATAAAAATGGCATTACTTCTCCACCCATCAGGCTTCTCTTTCACAACATCTTGAATGTCACCTTCCAGTTACTCTCCAGGTATAAAAATCTCTAATGTAGAAATAAAGAGGAAAAACCCTCTTCAGAAGAAAAAAAAAATTAGCCCTTTTTTATATATCATAAGGGAACATGAAAGAGCACAAATCCAATTCTGCTTTCCTTTTTAGGTCACCTTTAATGAGACAATAATCCTGCCAACACTTTTCCCACGCCCACGTGTCCTTCCCGGTGAGGTCCTCCTTTGAGTTTGAAGCTAAAAGGTTCCCGAGGTTCCACTTGGAGTGCACTAATAAAGGCATTAATAAGTCTACCCAACTTCTTGCTTCATTTGATATCAACTCATTCGCAACTGCTGTTATGAAAAAAGTTCATCTGTACATGATTAATCACTGCTGCTGTTGTGGTGTGGCAGAACCACCTTAGGACAGCGTAAGAGTGTACTCTTTGCTTAAATTAGTTTGGATTATGTTCTCCAGTAGGTGATATTTTATGCTGCTCGACTTTTAAGTTCCTGAAAGACCACAGCATTCTTTTATAATTATGAATTCTGAGTGAAGATTCTTCACTCTTTAAACAGACGCAGCAGCTTCTAGAAGTATTCTCACAGGATGACTTGCTGTGCTGGTATTTCCGAAGTCCACTGGTCATCCAAGTATCTGCTCTTGAGAGGATAGCATTATATGTTAGTATTTTACTATAATAAGAGCATTTATCCTTTTTTATTTTTCATTTAAAGGAATGGAGGATGTATTTGTTGGTATTTGACCTACTTCTGGATATTGGTTACTGCAGTGCTCTGCTTAGGTTTTAATCTGGAGACTTTCCATCTGTTTGCTCTCCAAAGTGCACATCCTTCTATCAGATTTGCAGGTACCTTTTATCTTCTCTCTGTACACACATTTTTTAATTTATTGCAAGGGAAATCAGTGCATATAAGAGCTGGCACTCGTACCTCTGGTCCCAAAACAGAGGCATGCACAGTGGCTGTTTGTGTGCTCCCAGTGTCATGGCAGCTGTGAGAGCCCATCCTGTGTAGCTCTTCAGATTATCAGCAAGTGCAGTAATTAGTGTTAATGTGGTGGAGGAGCTTGTTCAGAGTTAAAGTTCCTCTGGGCAGGAATTATTGTTAGTTTTCTGTTTTGGTACAGGACCTAGCAGTATGGCATCTCAGACTTACTAGGACTTCTGAATGTGGGTGCAATAACTATTGCCAAGGTAACTGTAAAACTACACAGTTTGCTGGCTCAGATGATCCTGATATTCCTTCCAAGGCATTACTGACTTCGAAGGCTAGTGACAGCTGAAATACTGAGGCTGCTAACTATTTTAGGGGTGATAAAAGCATGCTGAAAAATCAAAGTTATTTTTGGTGTAGGCTGTCACTTGTGTAGGGGAGGAAGATGCAGATACATGTCTGGGTTAAGTGAGCAAAAGCACTGGGGTCTCTTGCCCTCCAACTACCTCCGTTTGCATACAGGATTATTGATTGTTATTGGCAATAACGGATGATAGCTCTTTATGGCTTTTAAGTGGCACACAAAGTGCTCTTGTTCTTGTCCCAGTAGAGCAGCTCCTGCTATACTGCTTCTGCAGCTTGCTTATGTGCTTGTAGCTTAGGTCAAAGATTTCAGTTTTGCTCACAAACTGTAGAGGCTACGCAATAACACAGTGGTATTTCCGTTTTTCCAGCCTGCATTTTAAAAACCAGCAACCTTGTGAATTACCTTTTCCATTTCCAGACAGGCAGAGTCAAGCACTTAGAGATCATTTGTAGAAAGACGATTTGGGGTCTGCAGATGTCTTTTCTGTGCTAAAACTCTAGCTGCAGTGAAGGGCTTTAATGATGGTTTTGATGTTTAAAAAGCATGAGCTTCTTCCTCTGTGAGAAAGGTAATACAATTAGCAAGATATAAATGTTGCAAGTATGAGGCCAAGAGATTTCTTAACTCTTCATTTGCAGAAAATTACATCACACCATTTCTTTAGCCACTGAGATGTTTGGCTATAATTTGATAGGTACTGCAACCCTAAGCCATAGGTGGAATGTGTGGAGAAAATATCTTCTTTCAGTTCTGTGCTGGTACAGTATGTTCTGGGTTAAAGATCACTTTTAACTGTTCAGCAGAACAAAATAATAGTGGTTCATTAAGCAACAATGGTGGGGTTTTTTCCTGGAATTGTTGGCTAATGAAGACGACTACACCCATTTTGTTCAGAACAAAAATTGTAAAAGCTGACATGAAAGCTGCTTTGACCCATGCTGACTGCACAATTAATTCAAAGTTGAGAAGTGTGGAATGTTTTTAATTAATCGTGGTATTGCAGATCCTTTGCTAGTTCTGAGTGGAAGGAACAATGCATAGGGAAGAAGGCGCGAGGAGAGCTGTGTTGTCTGGGACACACCAGCTCCCGTTCTGCTGCAGTATTGCTTGAATGATTAGATTAAGAATTTCCTATTATTAACATCCCAGTTTGAATTTAAAGACTGAGTTTTATCAAGCTTGTTCAGCTGTGTTTGTGCAGCACAGGCTGACTGTTCAGGCTCAGTAAAAGCTCAAAGTACCCCCTCTGCACAGCTTCACCCCTGCGCACCTGTGCTGCTTCTGGGCTGTCTCTGAAACAGGAGAGCTGGTGATATGGTGAGGTTGCTCTTTCCAAAAACCATACAGGAAGAGAGCATCAAGCCCACAGTATCTGTCTTTTACCTGGTGTAGCAAGAATGGGCTGAATTCATATAGGAAGGGAGAGGTGGTTTTTAGCAAGCCTGTGTACAGCCCAAGAGGCGTTATGAGATGCCATCAGGAAGGAGCCCTTCTCTCACCTTTGCTTCCCAGTGCTGCTGCTCCCTGCTGAACAATTTCTGTGGCGCTTGGCAATTCTTTTATCCAAGGGTTTCAGTCTGCACGCTGCTAATATGATCTAAACCGATCTTTTTTCTTTTTTTCTCTTTTGCCTATTCTCCACTTGGTGCATCTTTCTTGCCAGGGGTATCGTGTTCTGCTGTGTGCTCAGGGAAGAGTGTGTATTTGTGTTTGAGCACAGCATGCCTCTCACTGTCTTCAGCCTTCGACGGGGAGTGTGCGCTGCACTGTCACAGGATGGCAAGTTAGATTCTTTGGGCAAAACAATAAACACATGCATGTCCCAGAGCTAAAGTTTTTTGAACTAAGTTGCATTTAACCTTAAACACGATGGATGATTGGTTTTGTGAAGGAAATGTACTGATCTGTGTAAGGATTTTATGTTACAATGCAGTTCTATCAGGAGCAAAGTGCACAAGAGTTTTCTGTTCTAGCAGTGTATCTCTTGTGTCTTCTCTGCCCTGTATGTTGCACCAAGCGCTTGTGCTTTCTCAGAGTGGTGAAGCAAGTATTGCAGTGTGCCCAGGCTAGGCTGGTTTTGTTGTCAGTGCTGTGTGTCTGCAAGCAAAACTCTTCCTTTCTGGCAACTTATAACACAGACGTGTTGAAGGTGTGGGGATTAAGCGGATGAGCACGGTAAGAGGGGATAACAGCCAGTTAAATGCTCAGTGTTTATGTGTTAACAGACGTGTTGTGGGTGCCACAGCCCAGATGACTTGCCACAACAGGCTTTCCAGGGAGGTGAGCAGGCGGGCTTAGGAGTTCCTAGAAGGAACTGATTTCTGTAGGGTACATAGGATGTAAGTCAGCACAAAGATGCTCAAAGGGAATGACTGGACTAATTGGCAAGGCAGTCTGGTGTAACTAAGGCAGAAGTGGGGATTGATAGCCCAGCATTGTATTATAATTGACAGGTGGGGCAAAGCTGGACTCTGAAGGGTCTTAAAGGTGGAGAACAAGTAGTTTGAGTTACTGTTTGATGTTGTGAAGGAATGGGAGCCAGAGCAGGCACAAGAAGCTTGAGGGAATGGCCTTTCAAAGCTGGTGTGCATGCAAAAGCCATAAGGAGAGCTGCACAACAGTGGCCCAGTTTGCGTTTTGGTAGAGCTGGCAAAGACCTGGACTTCAAAGGGCTGACTGTAAAGGTATGGTGGGTATGCCTGTATCAAAGATGGGCTCTCTGTCACTGCCCTGAGTGACAGAAAGAGCATTCAGCTGCAACAGAGAAAGTTACTTGTTCCCAGATAGCACCACTTCCCTGAGTTGGCAGGGTGGGGTTTCCAGGCTTAGCCTGAAGCAAAGATAAGGCTTTAAGAGGCAAGCATCAGATGCAGCTGCTTTACTACCACGCTGACACACTCTGAAGCTGCCATGCGCTTTGGAAACTCTCTACATGTTGTGGCTGGGAAGGAGGAAAAACGTTCAGTCCATTGTAAGGAGGTGGATGTGTCCCTCTGCAAGTGCAGGGTTGAAATGGAAAGGGTAGCTAGAGCCAAGCCAATGATTTGTGTGGAGGCAGCTTCACGTTCTCCTTCATGCAAGGAGCAAGCTATGGGCACATTGGAGCCATGTCTGAGGGCACACATAGCTGGATTTGGAGAGTTTGGGGAGTCTGTGGCCTGTGATGTTCTGTTAACCAGTCACAGCTCGCTTTGTCAAGGCTGTCTTCAGGCAGAGGGGGTGCCTTTCTGAAGCAAAGATGGCTCTGTACCCAAGCAAGAAGTGAGCACATCAACTTGGCTGCAGTGGGTGCTGTAGTTTGAATCCATGCATGAGGAGCCCTGAAAAATACACCTATAAGTGCTTTACTGCTGGAGTGAAAAGCAGTTTCTGGGAGTTCTGACTTGATTAAATTAGCTTTTTGTTTTGCATTCCTAAAGTAATGTACAAACAAGCATGAATGTTCGTTCTGTTGTGGTCAGTGGTTTCTCAGCGCATACCCACATTGCTCAGCCTGCAGCTCTGTGCTGCTGTCAGTCTTTCACCCAGGATGTTCTCCATGATCTCTGCAGGTCTCTGCTCCTTTGCACTTGTACATCATGGGAAAGGAGATGAGGGTGTCGTCTAATTTTTTTTTTTTCTTTCCCTCCATTACTATTCTTAATTTATTTTTTCCTCTGGAAAGTGCTCAGACTTTGTTTGGCAAGCAGCACGCTGCTGTCAGTGTGGTACCTGTGGCCGAGCCCTGCCATCTCCTGTGCTGCTCAGGCATCTCACACCTCTGTGTTGGAGGTGCCCAGGATCAAGCAGGATTTGTGCCACTGAAATCCAAGCGCAGAGTGGTGTGATCTGCTGGAGCAGACTGGTAATGTGCACAACCAGTTAGAGTGTCCAAGATGTAGAGAAATACTAAATTGTCCAGGGTTGGAATGAAGTTGGTAACAAGCAGGGCTTGTTTATAATCTTAGCACTACATATATATATACATATACATATATATATATGCGCGCAAAATGTCCTTTTAAAGTGGGATTTGTACTTGAGCATCATGTTCTTTGGAAATATGTATAAAGATTTGTATACTTGCAGTGAATGAATTAATTTACCTCATCTTTTTTTCTTTTTTCTTTAAAATCAATCTACATGGGGGGGGGAGGGGGAAGGAGGGGAAGTATTGATAAAATATTTAAAAATCGTTGGGTGTTTGGCTGTTTAAAATCATAAAAATCCCAAGATTTGTGTCTCCCAAATGCAGCTCTATTTCAGGAGAATGAATGTATCAAATAATATTAAGAGAACTGTAACTATCCAAAATAATTTACACCGAAGGGGAAGAAGAATAAAAAAGAACCTTCTCATTTACTAAAGTAATGAGTAAATGGGAACAGGGGGATAAAAAAAAAGACCCCAAAAATCCTTTAACTTTTGCTTAAAGTTGCCACGATGTGATACAGCTCTTAAAGAGAATATTTGCTCTTTTTTTGTAAAATAAGGTAAGACGTGCAAAAACTTCACCATTCACAAGAAATCATCATCAGATTACTTCACTGATAGCAAGGGAGTCTTGTTTAGTGTATTTTTAACTAATTTCCACTTAGTCATGAGCAAACAATCTTGAGGCAGATTGTGTGCTCCTCTTTAGACTTTGTCATCAAACCGAGTGTGGCCTTTACGTGCATCTATTTGAAAATAAGAGTGTGTTGCTGCTGGGGACTGCATGCTGTTGTAAGATCCAGCCATCATTACTTGAAAATTTATATTTCATGTTTTTACTTAACAGGTTGGGATGGTGGTGATAATAGCTCCAAAGCAAAAGCAAGCCAAGAAATGCATTCAGAAACTAATTCTTTATCGAATGAAAGAAGTCCTCCCTTCTCAAGGTAAAGTTGTTAATCCTGTAATATCTGAAATGCTTCTTTAGAATGAGAAATGCCCACAGAAAATGGCTGAAGCTCCAATTATTTTATTTTTTCACTTGGTCTAGGGTTAAGGTTTGTATTTATGTTTATTTAATAAAACATCTTAAACTTTGGTACACCTTAGAAAATATTTGTGCCAAAGCCAAGTATTGTTTTGCAGCTGTTGTTTTTTCATTTTAAGACTCAATTGACATCTCAGTGAACCACAAATTAGCGTGTACAGCTGCTCTCAGTAGGGCTACTCAGGGGCCAGACAATGGGAGTTGTCAGGAGAGGGCCAGACGTAAAACATAAAGTCTTCAAGAAATAAAGTGGTGAGTTTCTTCTCTGTGTACTCAAGATGTAAACTAGCTGTAACTGGATAACACTTTTCATGGGCTTGGGGTTTTTTTTATATTTGATACTGGGATATTTATAATATGCCTTTCTTGCTTTCAGACTGAGTATAATGGCCTTACACGTACCTAAAGGGCACAGTTTGTTCTTGTTTGTTTTTTCTTTAAAACAACAAAAAACCCCAAACCGACTTCGGGTTCCCTTCGGGTCCCTGAGCAGTTCTGTTGGATGTTCCTTGTATTCTTCATTGGCATGTAACGGTAATCAAACAGCAGCAATCAAATCAGTGGTCAAGAAGGAGCAGAAAATAGGATATAACACAGCTATCTAATGAAATATTGTTTGGACTTTAGATCTTTATTTGTTCTTATTAGAACAGCCCAGCAAGTGGGTGCTGCTGCTACACTGCTCCAGGTCTGAAAACTGCCATCAATAGCATTCCGGAAGAGACTTTAAAGCATTTTGATAAATTTGTCATTCTTTCTGCTTATACGGCATTGCTGTCTTCCTGGTGCTTTTTTTTTTTAATGCTGATATTGATGAGATCAGTTTTGAGACAATTCCAATCTTGCAAGTGTTCTGCATTTTGTGTTAATTCAAGTACAGTAAATAAAGACAAGCCATAATACAATATTGATGAATGGCATTCATGCTTTTCTTTAGGATTAATTCTTAGTCTTATGCTCAAACTCTTTCATTTTTCTTTTTTTCTTTTTGTTTATTTTTAGATTTTCTGAAACGTTGAGTTCCAAACCATACTACCTAATGCTGTGAAACGCAGGGGTGCTTCAATAGATGAATTCTTAAATACTAAATTTTAAATGTTAAATGTAAAATTTTAAATGTTCAATGTAGTCATTCATTGAATTACTAGAAATTTAACGGCCTTGCTTTTGGACACTTGGCATCCACTCTGTGGAGACAGAGAGCAGCAAAAGTAGACAGAAATGGAAAGGGTGGCCGGCTGCTTGTTTGCGGCCAGGACGCAGTGCAATTTCTTCGCCGCTCACATTTAAGCGCTCCACTTACTGCAGTCACTTCTCAGGCTTTATTGCTTTTACAAGTGGTCTCGAAACCCACTACTTGAGAATAAACATAACTGTGTAGCACTGCTGTGGTACTTTTTATAAATTCTTCTTTGCTCCGTTTTGTCACTGAGCTGATGAGTGACCTCGCGAAAGACCCTGCTGGACCTAAATAAAAAAAATGGCTTCCTCTGATGTCCTCCAGACAATAATTATGATGTGCCAGTTAAGCCCAAACTACAGCTGAGGGATTTTACTTTAAAGCAGAGGCTCGGGCGCAAAAATGCATTTATAGCTCTTTGTCTGGCACCTCATTATGTGTGGGCCTGATTCATTAAGTAATTGGTTTGCAGTTGTTTACATGAGTATTAAGGCTTTCTATTCAGCAGCCTTTGAGAGATACATTGTGCAAATGTTGCATGTTATGAATGCCGAATGAGGGGCAGGGGACTGGTCCTATTGGCTAAGCACTGCACTCTGTTGAAAAGCAAGAGAAAGAGATTGGGTGCTGCTTTGCATAGCAATGACTTTCTTAATAAGCTTTACAGATTAATACACACAAGCTATAAAAGATGCAAAGAGATACTCTTAGCACATTTATACATGCTCATTTCACTATTATGGTACTGGAGACGGGAAGAATTGAGGGCTTTCATATTCGGTTTTTCAGTGCATGTCTTCAGTGCATGAGACTTAATAGAATCCGATGTTTATTGTATTATAAATCACGGGGAAGTAGGCAGATCTGCAAGGGGGGGTAAATGCACGGGTTGGTCCGGGCTCTGAGTGAGGAAAAATTTCTAAGGTTGGGACTGAGTGGTCAGGACATGCATTTACCAGGAAAATCCAGGGAAAGTGGAAGAGCGTGCTTCCAGGCTCCTGAGATGCACCCTGAAACCTGCCCATATCCAATTGTTTTACTCTTTTGTGTACTTTCAGTTGTCAAATCACTTTTGTAAGAAGCTGGCTGCAAATTCAAGCACATTTTTCTGACATTACAGATATTTCTGGGAGCTTTGTTTCCTACATCTTAGCATCCAGCTGTTGCAGAAATAGCGATGTTGTAGTGGTGATGCTCTACAAATACTGGCAGGGAATCGTTTGTGGGGAGACAACATCTATCTAAATACGTTGCCTTTGTAGTACAGAGGAAATAGAGTTTATTTTTGCGGCGATGCCCTGTGCTTTTCCGACATAGCTTCATCACAGCGCTGTGATGCATTCTTTGTGCTGGTGCTTTCTCGACGCAAGAGTGGTTTGTTTGTTTTTTTTCCTTCAGCGTGGTATATCTAAACAGAGAACGGCCTTAAATGTAGCTCGATACAGATCTTTGTATCCTGAAATAAAGGTCATACTATTTGCAGTGTAATTACTTAAATTCAATACTATTATACGGTTCTGGTGAGATGAATGGATTTTATTTTTAGTTTATACTGACTTTTCAGGGTGGGGAATACTTCTGTGATGCCCAATTTCTAGTAAACACTCAGCAGAAAATGGAGCCGTCAGGCTTCTGCAGGCACTGGATCACAGAGGGTACCTAGCTGCGATGGTCATATCAGAGGCACTGCCACTACGCAGCCTGGCTTGCTTACGGCCAAGAGGCTTTTAGCTGTCCTCAAAAAATGCTTTTTAAAGATGGATCTGCAACTCTGCATCCTCACATATCGCTGGGGAGAAGCTTCATCACTTCTCTCATTGAGGTTTAATAAGCACCACCCTGGGAAAAAGAAAAGCTTGATTTGTTTTCTGTGGCATGCTGCCTTAGCAATGCGTGTGCAGGATGGAGGCACACAGGCTTCCAGTCTCTGACGGGATTAGCTGGAGCAGTGGTGATCCTTAGGCAGCTACACTCGGTGTTCTGTTTGTTTTTCTGATAAAACTTGGCATTTGGGTGGTGTTTTTTTTCTTGTAGTGCTTGGGAGCTTTTTGCTGATTTTTGTTTTGTTTTGGTTTGGATTTTTTCCCTTGATGTTTAGCTAGTTTTCTTTGTGTCTTTTTTTTGGCAATTGGGTGTCTTTTTTATTTCCCCTTGGTGTTTGGGTGTCTTTTTTTCACTTGACACTAAAACACAGAGGTTCAACAGGTGCTTTAACAAAAAAGATACTCAGGCTAAAGTAAACATTTTCTGCTGTTTTTCAGTGAGTCATCTCTATTAACTTGGCTCCTGTTGATCTGGTATTTTTCTCTTAAATTTTCTTTATGGGGGGAAAAATATTTTCTTGAAGCTTTTTCATTTCTTGTTGTTGCAGCATCTTCAATATAAAAAGCCTGTTTCATCAGAGTAAAGGAGAGATTAAAAGGCCCTTTGAAGTTAAACTGGTTTAGGTTTTTTCTTTGTTAGAGCCTGGGTTGAGTTTGGAATTACTTTAGGAAAGAAGCAAATGTGTAAATGGATATCGGAGGGTCATGACGTGGGATTAGTCGAGGCAGTGAAAATGGCCTTACTTCATTTATACTCCTAAAATTTCTCCGCGGAGGTCTGTGTGGTTATTGTGTGCTCAGTATACCAGATGATAACTTTCATGATTGAATTTGCCGATTTCAGAATACGAATGCTTTGCAATGTAGAGATAGTCTTGCATCTTATCAGCCTTGACTAACACTTCAGACATAATTTAAGAATTTTATTCCCTGTTACAAAGCTATCTCGCAGCATTTTCCAGGCTCAGTTTGGTGGAGCAGCTGTTTCTGGTCTGGCCTTTCTGATGTCCTAGCTCCATTTTCCCTCTCCCTACAGACATTTGCTGTGTGTCGACAGCTTTTGTGCCAAGCCTGTGGTGACACACCGGTCCCCTTCTCTCTCTGTGCAGACTGCTGTGTCATGTTAAGGCCCAGGTCCCAGGGTGCAGTGCTACAGCTCTGGGCTGTTCTGGGACGGAATTGCCACTCCTAGGTGCAGTGGATTGGCCCCGGCAGGATGAACCCTAGCAAGTGGGTTGTTTTGGTAGAATACAAGCATCTGTCTTGCCCTCTCCCCTGTCAGCATTGACTTTTTTCTTGATGGGAGGCTGGGATAGAGGAGAGAAGGTTTCCAGATCTTCCTATAGCCATGGTGGTCCTTGTCTACCACAGCTTCTCTGTGAGACCACTGGCCTATACCAGGACCTGCAGCACCTCGCAGCACTTGAGTTGCGCAGGAGGACCAAGCTGCCTGAGACAGGGGCAGTCCTCCACAGTGGCGCTGTGCTCCGTGTCGCATGTGGTGGCTCTCAGTGTAGCAGAGGCTCTGGGCCCCAACAACCAACCCTTTCACGTTTGGTCTGGGCTTGAACCGTGAAAAGAAGAACAAAAAGTCACTTCTAGAGACCTCCTAGCATGACTGAATAAGGAAACCCTGTACATCTCCCTCTCGACAGTGGAGACGAAGCAGCAGGCAGCAGAAGTGGTAGCTGCCAGCTGCCTGATCTTGTTTTACTGAACTACTTGAAGATAAAATGGTTCTCGTGCAGTCTGCCACAGAAGTCACCTCTCAATTTGTAACTCAGCAACAAGTGATTCCTCACTCTACACCCAAGGAAAAAATGATTCAGCTGCCAGAGATGTAGCCTCTTGAGCACATTTTTATGGGCTAAGCATGGGATATGTGGAGCATCTCCTGGAAAATGCTAAGGGTCATGAAATCTCACCAAAGTGAGCAAGAGTGAAGGGCATTCAGTGTATTGCAGGACTCTACCCTGAGGCTCTGACTTAAAATCCTTGCTCGAAATACTGTTGAGTAAATGTATTTGAACGAGAAGTTGAAGTGTAATGGAGTGTAGGGTTTGAGTGAATAAACCAGAAAGGCATTGGGATGGCATGCTAACAAAATATCAGCAAAACATTTGAAGGATAACATTTTAAGGTGGTGGGTTGTTTTTTTTTTATTTAAAGAAGTTAACTAGTTAAGTCACTGTTAATACTTTTAATTATCACTTTGGGGTCTTGGTTGAACTTTGGCTATGTTGAATGTTCTATTTCTGGGAATTTTTTGTGTATCTGCAAAGAAGGAGTGCTAATAGCTTTTACAGCCTGTAGGAAAGGAATAAGATTTAAGCAGTATGAGCTTTATCTCATTTAAAAGGAAAAGTTTCTGTAACATAGATAGCTGTAACGTAATAAAACTTACCCCTGCTTTAAGTTTAGCTTGCCAGCTGTAATCCCAAATTCTTACTGAATACAGTGGTATAAGACAAGCAGTGCTTGTCTTATCTCTGCTTGTTGGGTTTTTTTGGTATCTCCTTCACAAATGTCTCCACAATTGTAGTTAGAATATTTTTAACTCCCTGTTTTAGGCAATTATGTATTAGCTGCCATGTCTTTAAATTAAATGCAGCAACTTATATGAAAATTTTGACAGCTGATTGAGTCCTGTTTTGTCTGTGACAACAGCTCCAAATTGCAGCTTGACATTTGCTTATATTTTCCTAGTTTGCACAGTAATGTCACAAATATCTCCTATTTGATCTTCCGTATTAAAATCAGCTGAAGCTCTATTTTTTGAGCTTATTGTGGGACTGTTAATATAACAGTTAATTCTCCTACATCATTGCCCCTGTGTGATTATTTCACAGCACCAACACAATACACACACTACACACAAAAGATCAAAATGATTCCAGCTTGTTTGAGAGATTCAAAAGGGCCTGTGATGCTCTAGACACAAGAGCAGCCATTTAACAGAACTGAGTCGCAACTGCATATACATCAAGGTAAGATAAAAGGCAGCTGGGAGATCACACATTTACATAGGGCCCTGGATGATGCTATGGGAACCCAGTAGCTGGGCTGGTGGCGTGCGCTGGCAGGAAGGGGAGTAAGGAAGTTCAGTGAGCATCAGTGGGGGGTGCTTTTATTTTTGTTTGTATTTTTTCTTATTACTTTCTTTGCATTATCTGAAAGGCTGCAAAAGATAGACAGAGCTCTGATCCTTTGTACCCTTAACTACTGGTGTAAATCGGTGCTGTTACCAAGGAATGATTCCAGTTCATGCTGCCTGAACATCTGGGCCAGTGTCCATGCTGCATGTTTGTTAGTTCCTCCACCTTTTGAAAGACATAAAGGTGAAAAAACCTTTGACAAAACAGTTTGGTTTTCTTTTTTAAAAAAAAGGTAGTTACAGAAGTTACTGACTTAATTATTTTTTTAAAATCACCTCACAGTTCTTTAAAAAAAAAAAAAGCTGACTTAGTCTTTTAATTTTGTGACATTGGGCTGATTATTTGAAATCTCTTTTGCAGGACTGAAACCAGGAAGGGAATTGTAACTGCTATAAAATCCAAAGGTAAGAAACCAGCATTGCACTATTTAAAATTGATATTTTTCTAAGTGTAACTTATATTGTAGATAACCTCTAAGGACAACATTATGGAACCATATAAAATATGGGCATAAGGAGGTAGGAAAGTGTAGAATTTCCCAGTCTCAACACAGGAACCAGCAAATAGTTGACAATTACAAATTCTGGACTGGAGAGGACATGTTTCATGTGCATGTCTTGTGGAAGGAGTAGTGATCTTTGCTTCAGGGTTTAAATCAGAGTAGCAAATAGCAGGTAGGAGGAAAGCTAGAGAAGGAAAAATGTGGTGTTTTCTTGATCTTCCCTTTGAAACACGGGTTGCAGAAGTGTATGGGCAGCAGCATGTGCATTTGGACAGTTACACTAGGTGGGTGCACAAAGGTGCCTGTACACCTGGAATAAAAAATCTGGTATGACTTTTTTCACCATGACCAAGCTGGCTTGTTTTTAAGTTGGTGTTTGGACCCTGCATGCTTTCATTCTTCTTTGCATTTCATTCTTGTCTTTTAATCACCATAAGGACCACTGGTGTCTGACCTCTAATGGAGCCTCTCCTAAGTGAAGTCAGTGCTGTGAGCAGGGAACTCCTGCCTGGAGCTTGGCTTTAGGCACTGTGCTGTCCCGAATGTCATAGAACGTGTTTTAGACGTGTGGTACCCGAGCTGATTTAAGGATGCCGTAAGTGACGGCTGCTTTCGTGCTGTTTGAAGGGCGCATCAGCTGGGGAGTTTCATTTTTTGGAGCCTTTCAGCATGTTCAGCTGCTTCTCAGCACAGGAGCAAGCGCAGGGTGCAGACAGTGCTGCTCTGATGTTCCTGGCCAAGCACAGACCTGCAGTCCAGGGGGCCGGGGATATAGGATGAAAGATGCAGCTGCTGCATTTGTAGATAAGATGTTTATATAGCTTGTGCCATCAAAAGCACGGAATGCATTAACGGTGCCTCAGTCAAACACAAGCTGAAATTTCTGTCTGTGGTACAGCAGCCTCCTTTTCTCCTGCTGCCTGAATCCCCGTTTCTGAGTTCTGTGCCTTGTTTGGGGCATCACGGCTATTGTGTTGGCTTTGGGCAAACAGCAGCCCTCTCAGAATGGCTGGGGACAGGCAGAGAGCACGGTGCTGTAAGCGACTGGGGGCTTCACTTATGCTTCCCCATGTGCCGTGCTTTTGACTTGTTTTTTCCATGGGTCTAATGAATTTACATATTGAGGAATCTCTCAGCTCTCCAGCTTCAAATGTTGTTCTGTTTGCTAATTCCCAAAGCTGTTTGTTAAAGCCATGCTGTTCTTTGAAGTCAGTTTTGCCTGTGTTTGATCCTGTCACAAAGTGGTGATTTTTCATTTGTGACGTCATTGCCATTTTTATGCCAACTCTGTGATGTCATGGTCCGATTGTGACTTCACTGCAGGGTCAAGTAGAGGGAGAAAGTGGAACATAATAGACAAAGCTGTAATTCAGGCAGCAGCTGGCCAAGTAAATTGCTTGGAGTGGAAATGTTCTCTCAAGCTACCTTGAGGAACAATGAAGTGGGGCCTCTGAATGAGCCTACTGTTTGGCCACAGCAGCTCTGGCGTTGGAGACACGACGCGTTGACAGCACGCTAGATCGGAAACGCACACCTAGGGCTTGAGCTTTTCAAAACTGCGGTGTTCTCCGTAAGCCATGGTGTCCAGCTGCCTCCAGAGAGCCATAAAATGATCATGCCTCTGATGTAAATGACATAAACATGGAAAAGATTTTATAATTGTGTATATCATTTTTTTAATATATAATTTTTTTTTCTTCTCACCCTCAGCTTTCTGGGGTGAATCTGACGACAGCAGCTCTGAGATTGAGGCTGCTTTGCGCCCACAAACTCACAGCACAGAAGCAGATGAATTTGATGACTTCTATGATTGATTCCCCTGCTTGCTTTTGGGAAGAAATAAACAATATCATCTTGTACATATTGAAGGTGCTGCTGTCAAAAGTGCAGCTCATCACTTCATAGTCGAGAAAATTTAAATACAAAATAAATATTACTCAGTACTATACACAGTTTCCTTGTTTGTGTGCTTTCTCTTAACTGCTGAGTGTTTCCTGATTTGATGGCAATCCTGCCCTGTGGACTGAGCCTTTTTGTGATATATTTGGTTTTGGGGAATAAGTGAAGATAAGTCCTGAGATGCCCACTTGCTCCGAGATGCTTGCATTACCCTCTGAGCATTATCACCTCAGGGGGTGAGGGCTGACTGTAAAACCCACTCTGCCTTCCTCTGGGTCTGGGTCCCTTCCCACAGTGTCCTGTTCCTTTGTTGCTGGGGCTGGGAGCTGTGTGTCTGCAGTCCCCGGCTCACAGCGAGTGTCTCCTGCCCAGCGCCTGCAGGAGAGGGGCAGGACAATCCCCAGACCTGGATGCAGCAGCAGTATTGAAGGCCAAATCAGCCTTGCCTCAGCTCGGCTGGAAGCTGCTCCACAGTGCTGCTTCCTCTGACCAGGCAGGCCCCTGCTTTTGTTGCACTGTGAATGCAAAGACTGTCCTCTTCTGCTGCTCGTATGTATTCTAATATTTTGACTGTGGAGCTAGATGTGGTTTTGAAAAAAGAAAGCAAGCATTCTGGGTATGCATACATATGCTACTCAGGGCAGGCTGGCATGTTTGATCTTTATCATCTTCTGCAACAGATCAAGAAGAAGAAATGCATAAAATGTACATTTCTAATTCAGCACATTTTGGAAGAGCGGAATTTACATGTGGCGAGCCCCAGTGATTTTCTGCTTTTACTTGCTTTGTAAAATCCATGCTGGTATTGCTGTATGGACATCACAGTAATTGGATGACTCTAGGAGCTTCATGCATTTTTAATTTTCTTCTTTTAATTCCTTTTATCTAAAATTAAGTTCATTAAACATGAGATTTTTCTTTCCAAGGGAGAAACCAGGGGACATATTTAAAAAAAAAAAAAAAATCTGTTCATAATTACAATAAGTTCAAAAGCAAAAACCAGCACCCCAATTAAACTCTGCTGCAAAGCAGTACTGGATCTTTGAATACAGGCACCAGTTTTTGGGCCCAGCCCATCAAAAACAATTTTAAAATGGTAACAATATTCAATTTAATAGAAAAAGCGTGTGGTTTGAGACAAGTTTGAGAATATGAAATAAAGGCTTGCAAAAAGCTTAAAAATTAGAAGAAACCCTTAGTACAGATGTCTGCTGGCTGGTTTAATTTCGTGGGTTTCAGTCTGATGTTGATAATAGTGCAGCATGAAGTGTTCCAACAACTGGAAAATCAGCTGCATGAAGGCTAGAGCTGGGTGAGTGTATGCCCAGGGCTGATGTCACATGAGACAGCTGGACTCGACTAAAGCTGGACTTAACTGAAGGCTTTAATGCCCACCCGCACTGACAGGGATTTTTATGCCCATTCAACCACAAGCTATTTTGATTCAGGCTCCTGTGATCTCTCCCTTTAGAGACCAGCTAGCTCATGCAGACTCGGCCAGGAAAATGGCAAAGGTCCCTCTGCCCTTTCCGGTTTTTACCACACCAGCTCCCCGTGTCCTGTGGGGGACCACTGCCCCACTGAGAAGCTGTGTGATGGTCAGGTTGGTCAAGGGATGGGAGGTGCACAGAGGTGAGGAAGAGAGGAGAAAGCAGCCCCCGGGAGGTCTGCTTCCTAAAGCAGCGATTCCCATGCACCACGCTGCTGGAGAGGGTTGGCACAGCTCCCAGGTCTCCACTGCTGTGGCCAACCTCAGTCAATAGACAGCAAAGCCTTGGGCAGTGGGGTGGGGATAGCAGGATTGTCCTGCAAATTGTGACACTTTGAAAACAAATTCTGCCATGCAATGGCAACATGACCAGAAGGGCTAGTGCCCTGTCACGCTACTGCTGCTCTTGGTGGACCACCAGGTAGGTTTAGGGGTTTCTCAGGAGCCTTCTAGTAGCAACGTGCTGGAAGTTTAAGTGTATACTGCAGGTTCAGTGTCACCCAGGAGATCTGTAGCAGAACCGATGTCTGAGCCTGCCACCCGGGGGCCGGTGGTGGGTCATCGTTCCTTGCTGCTTTTTTCTGATCAGCCCTAAGCTGCGGTAATTCATTCCCGATGGTCCCAGCCATCTGCTAAATGTAAGCTCACCAGTATGTCACACCACAGACAGGCTACCACGATGTGATTTTTCAGTGAATGTCAGACCAAGGTTCATCTGACAAAAGTCTCTAGCAGCCTGCACTGCTAAGTAACACTGCATCAAATCCACAGTGCCTTTGTAGTTTTAAGCTCTTCCTGAGCGATTCCAGGTTCTTGATGTCATCCCACTTTATATCTCCTTGCATGATACAAGGCACCCATCACCAGTCTGTGGTGCTTTCCATTCCCTCAGTCCAGCTCAGCCACAGACATGCAACTCATGACAGATGACAGATGGCTTTGGGAGCTTCTGCTAAGGCAATATCTCTCTTTTGGTGTTGAAGTGATAGCTGAGTTCCTCCAGAGCATTATTTATTATACTCTTATTGTGCACAGACTCATTAGATGCAAAACATTCTGCCAGTCAACTTTATTCTGCTCCTTCACAGCTGTCATACTGGCAGCCCGAAGATGATGACAGATGATGCTGATGGACAGGGGGACTGTAATCAATACAGCCTTAACAGATTTAAATCAGCATGCCACTCATCTATGGAAAATACTGTAATGAAAAGTCTTCCTGTATTCCTGCTGTGTTATGTGCCACGACTTGGTGCTACTTTTTTTTTTTTTATGTCACAGACACAGTTGTGAGGTGAAACTTCAGCTCATGCCCCTGTATGTCTGCTGAGAAAAACAAGTTAGTGCATAGGGGCTGACAAAAAAAAATGATGGATGAGTGCTGTTACCTGGTGAACCAAAATGGAGACTGTGTGGTCACGCAGCCCTGACTCAGACTCTGCAGAGAGAAGCCTCCGAGACATGTGGAGATGGTGACTGTACTGAGAAGAGCTTGGGGAGCAGAGAACCACTGCTGTCTTCAGCCACTGACCTGAAAGCCGATGGAGCTGCCTGTCACTTCCCAGGAGAGAAGGTCACACTGAGAAGGGAGCTCATCCCCACTCCAAACCAGATGTTAGGCAGAAACTGTTACTGCTGTTTGTCAGCAAGGTTATTATTCTCTAGTAGCAGAATTCTGCTACTGCTTCCTACACAAGAAAAAAGACACTCTGTTTTTCAGTTCACAGGTGTACACCTGGCACAACAGCAGCCCTCCCACGCAGCTGCCTCTGCCTTCCCCATCTTTCTCTTAAAAAGTTGTGCTTTCATCTAGCGAGTACCAGGCATGCTCCTTCACTGAGGTTGCCAGGTCATAAGTTTCTGCAGCACGAGTTTTGCTTTAGGATATTTGTAAGGGTTTAGGTTTTGTTTTGGTTTGTGTTTTAGTTTGACTTTTCAAGGAAATGTTTGTTGCAGTATTTTTTCAGCACTTGTTTTTACACAAGTAACTATATTTTACACAAGTAACTATATATAAGATGATCATATTTCATTTGCATTTGCTAGTGCTGCTGTCTTGATTTCTTTAGCATTATCAGAACAACACCTGTTTGCCCATCAATACAAACAAAATGTTAATACCAAGCTGTCTTACTCTATACTAAATTCCAGGAGGAGAAGCACTGCAATAGGAAACTTCAATCAAGGTACATTTTGTAAGGAACAGATAAAGGACAATCTTTAGCTGATACCACAGATGTGGTGCCAACACAAAGTTGCTGGGGAAATGTATTCAGGTCACAGATTTTATTAAGAGGAGTGACAACAGAAAATGGCTTAACAGCTAAATGAGGCTAAAAATAATGAGAAATACAGTATCGGGTTAATCTCTTCTACAGCAAATTAGCAAGGTAGCAACGTTCCTCTTCCCTCCCCAAATCAGTGGCGTTGACTCAGTAAGCACTGCTGAGATTTTGTTATTTTTGTTAATGATTCCCAGACTGCTTTTTCATGTCCTCACCCCCATCACTGCCCTCCTAATGAAGTTGGTGTACAGTGACAGGACACAGCAGAGCACGAAATCTTCCTCATGTTAATCCTACCAAATGCCTTAAGGTTTAATCCCATTTCAACACTGTCAAACGGCTAATTTAATAGTATTTGCTTATGCAGCAGGCAAAGAAATGGGACAGTGTTTCTTTACGCTGCAACTGTCACGAATTGCACCAAGCAATTTTACACTCTGCTTCTGGCAATGTTCCCCTAGCTTCTGCTGCTCTTTCACCCTGCTGCCAGTGTCCCAACACTGCTTTTAAACTGCAGCCAACAGCTCCCTCTCTCCTTCCAAAGAGGAAGAGGCCTCTCCCAGAGCCTCACCCTTCAGTCTCATTTCCTTATTTCAGAAGCAGGTTCACTGGAACTGAAAGCAGCCCCACAGCATTAGCTTTGACAAAGCAGCAATAACCTTGATCTTACGTCTTCTACCTAAACCATTCCACAATGGCAAGCTTTTTTTTTTTAGTAAGGTTGTTAATCGAGGGTAAGTTTTCACGCTGAACCTTGCCTGAGAACAGGCACAGCATGCAGTACTACCTCAGACATCACTCTGGTCTCAGGTTTTTCCCTTCTGACCATCATCTAGATGCCTAAAAAGCTCCCCTACAAATCTGGGGGGAAGGTGACGCCGCAGGCTCCTCACGACAAGAGACAAGCGAACCCTGACTGCAACCCCGCCAGCTCTGCCCTGACGCCGCCATAGCGCCCTCGCTTCCGCGCCTGCGCACTGCAACGCGCCCGCCCCTAAAATGGCGGCCCCGTCACGCGCGCCTCACGTGACGCTCCCTGCCCTCTCGCCGCCGCCGCTGGCGCGCGTGCTCCCCCATGGTGCTCCGCGCTGCCCTTTGCCCCCGGAAGCGCTGCTCGCCGCCTTGTCCGGAGCTGCTGCCGCCGCTGTTGCCGCTGCCTAGGGCTGCGGTCCGGCAGCCCCCTCTCTCCGCACCTCCGGTCCGCCATGGGAGTCCCGGCCTTCTTTCGCTGGCTCAGCCGCAAATACCCCTCCATCATCGTTAACTGCGTGGAGGAGAAG